GTTCTAGGAACATTTGGGTGTTTGTGAGGTGAGCTGGAATGTGGTTAAGCAACTGGGTAAGTATCAGGCTTAAAAACCAGCTTATTCTATCCGTTGGCCCGTCTACGCAGCTGATGATCGCTCTGAAGAAGGCGATACTGCCGAAACGTCAGCTAGCGTTGTATTGTATTGTTTTTTATGGAAGTAAATGTATGCTGTTTAAAAACCTCGCGATTGCTGAACAAGAAAACGACACATTCATATTCCAATGCCGAGGTTAAGAAAAAGTCGATCCTGGGAACTATCAATATTATAATTTTTACTTTTTATTTTCTGCCCACTACAATTTTCACGGCAGGATACTTAAGCGAAATACAATCACAACGTTGCTGAGATGATTATAGCTGCGGCCTCAGCTTAACTGGGTTCGTTGCCGATTTGGGCCCCCAGATCAATCCCGTTGACGGGTGATTGCTGATGGCAAAAGATCGATAGAACTAGCTGGGAGACAGGCGAAACGAATGACCCGCCTGGTGTGGTGGTGAACGCCCTAATCCCCGGAAAGGACAATAGCGCGTTCGTTCACCACCGCATACACCTGCAGTCCGGAGTGTTGCAAATATCTTAGCGCCATTGAAGTTATATTTCACATTGTATACCCTTCCGTTAAAAAGAGTAGGCGGTAAATAATAAGTTAAATTTGTGAACGCGTTATTGCCCTTTCCGGGGAGTAGCACGTTCATCACCACACCATGTGGGTCCTTCGTTTCGCTTATCTCTCAGCTAGCTCTATCGATCAATATTTAATATTATAATTCCTCGTTTTCAGCACATTAGTACTCTGTTCTTTGCCAACTCTGTTGGCTCTTCTTCTTCTGTTCCCATACTCTGTTCTCACTCAACAGTGGGTTAGGCTTAGTGGTTCATTCATTAATTTATTAAAAAAAAGTTAAGTTGATTAGAAGGCACTTTATGGAGAGAAGCCCAATAGTGGAGAGGAGAAGAAATAGGTGGTACTCAAGAGACATTAGAACGCTTTCAAAAATACGATACAAGTATTTTTCGATGACTAGTAGAAGAAAAGGAGAAAAGAAGGGAAGAAGTAGAAAGTAGATACGAGTAGAAAGCCGTCCACTAGTTTTGTAATATTTCCTCAACAACTAAGTGTAGGAACTGTGATGATATGCTTTCATCAATGAATATTCACGAACGCGTACCAAGTGATGATGCACGCGGTACTGTTGAAGGAGGTAGGCTTCTTTCCATGAAATTTGTAATGTCCGCAAACAAGTGAAACATTTTCTTAAGCTTAACGTTTTTGTTTACTGCCTATTCTTTTTAATGGCAGGGTATGTTGCGAAATCTAACTTCTATAATGCTGAGATATGTGCAAAACTCCGTACGGCAGGTGTATGCGGTGGGGAACGAACGCGCTATTGTCCTTTTCGGGGAGTAACAAGTTCACCACCACACCATGCAGGTCCTTCATTTCGTCTGTCTCTCAGCTAGTTCTATCGATCTTTTTGCCATCAGCAATCATCCGTCAATGGGATTGATCTGAGAATCCCAAATCTGCAATGAACCCGGTTAAACATTTTTATTCACTCAATGTGAATCCCAATGTGAATTCTTACTCTAATATAAAATTGTGAGCACAACAACAATTTTAGCATTCTTTACTGTAATATCCAGGATCCATCGCCGTATTGGTATCAAAATCGCATGGTGGCAAATTTCCCTCTGATCCATAAGGGCTGCCACTGCCTATGGTGGTGAAGACCTAGAGCAGACTTTTTTGTCTAGACTGACCTCGGGATTCCAGGGAACCAAAATAGGTTAACCACCAAATCTCGGGGGACAGACTTTGGCCAGACTGATCTCAGGACTCCGGGGAACCACAGTGTCTAAACCAGCAAAACTCCGAGAAAGTGGAAATTATGCTGGGGCCCACACAATAAGTGACGACGAGCCATCCAACTATCCAACTATTCAAGTAATGTATGCATGTAAATCTTATAACGGCATGGACATACATAACGGGTGTAAACAACGACGACTAAGAATCTATAACTTGGAGTAAATAAACACCATCAAAAGGAAAGCGCCACTATGTATAATTAGTGTGAGCCCATCCACAGGAGTGTGACCTCTATGGGTGGCATTAGAGGTGGGACATTTTGGCCCGTACTTGCTCTGTGGATGTGACGACGAGTGCGACGAAAAACCAAGCGTCGTTGCGAATGTGTTAAAGAACTACTCCGCATCAGGTGTATGTTCTGTTGCCCTCTGGTCATAATGCAGAGCCACTACAATCTAATAATCATATCCACCCACAAAAATTATGTAAAGTTAAACACAGCTGTTCGTGGTTGTTGATCTTTCATACTACCGCTTCGTCATGAAAGGTCCTGACAATGCACATTACAGAAAACAACTTCTATCATAACTCCCACTGCTCGTAGTTGTTTGTTAACACTCTCGCAACGACGCCTAATTTCGGGTCTGTTCCCAGCTGGACGAAGCCCAATTTGGTGCCTTTCTGGAGTTGCTGGTTTTTTGGAAATAAGCAATAATCTTCCGATAACTAGGGGACTTCGTTGGTTGTGAACATGAGCGGATTGTGGAATAGACTTTGCTCGATTATACTAGATGGTATTTAAGGTCCTATCTACTATGACTTAAAGGAGGGATAGCACAGTTAGTGGTGCCCACCACCATGACCACGGCGCTGGTTCAATCCCGCACCAGGCTCACCAGGCCTCTCATACCACCGATGTAGGAAAGTCGCTACCGAACTGCACTTCCCACAGTCCAATTGGGAACGCTTCCAGCAAGGCTATCTCAGCACTCCAGAGAGAATCGACTCGACCAGCATTCTACTACATTTATAAAGAGGACGGCAGTACTCAAGTAGCAGGCCAAGCCAACATAAAAGTAGGAAGACCTTCACCGCCGACGGGTGCGAAGGAGCGAATCGAATGTGGAAAGTGCTGGGATCCCTCCAGCAGACGTCAACAGGAGTCGTATAAAATAAAGTTTAAAGAAATTCGCTGCACCTTGTTAGAGTCCATCGTACAAACACTACTGTTAGCAGTTGGAAGTGTTTTGCAACTTATGGACCTCCACTTCAGTATTTGTTATACCCACACATACGTATAGGTGTAGTACAAAAACATGTAAATTCTTTTGCATAAGAATACCTTTAAGAGTACAGCACTTTCTAACTAACAATCCAATACATCTGTATCCTACTACTCTATCAATTTACAGCAAAAAGGGTAAGAAAATAGTTCCATATGTCAAAGTACGACATATAGGTGCCACTCGTAGCGAAAATGTGAAGAAATAACAAAGACAAACCCTAAGAATTCTTAAGTCTGTGTTTCGTTGCTCCTTTTGTTACTCCTCCTTTGTTGAAAAAAACCGGTTCCGTGTCTCTAATATTGTTATACTCTGCAACTGCTCAAAAACAAAGCACAACAACATGCTTTTATCCACTTTCTTGAAAGTGTGCGTCCTTCTCCTTCATCAGCTACAACACACACACAAACTTTCCAATACATTTTATTTGCCAATGGTAATATTACATCAGTAAACACCATACAAACAAAGAAACAATCAATCACTGACCAATAATTGAACTCCAACACCGATGCTTTTCACGTACAATAGAATAAAAACAGCATGCTCTTACTTGGAGTCGGTCTGAAATTTGGAAAAGAAAATACGACGCTCTATTACTAACTAAACCAGTCTCCAACTAAAAATCCTGTATACCATCATCGTTACAGAAAAAGAGTCAAAACCAACCACGTGCGCCGCTGCTGCTTCAAGAAAGCTGTCATGGAATTCTTTTGCAATTTCGGCTGTCTTGAACTTCACTGTGAAGATTTCATCCACCCCTTCTCGAGATTCGGAATAATCCTGCAGTTAAACGTTGTCACTGGGATTCTACGCAAACGATAATATAATTTCTGATAATAATAGATATCACTGGCTACCCGGCATATCCAACTGTACGCAGGTTGTACACCTTTCCTCTCATTCAACTCTATAGAGGGCAGAATAGCGAAATTTGCGCAGACTTTGTGCACATGGTCTCGACGCATTACCACACGATGTGTATTGTTTTTGGGATTGCGTAGTATCTGAGAAAAACACAATTTCAGAAATTCGGATGAAAACGTGAAGTAATTAATTGCTATAAAATAACTATTTTAAACACCTTGAGATCGCCCACACCTCGCTCCTTGTTCTCCTCCGTCTCCTTTATAAAACGATATAGTTTTGCTCGAGCAGTAAAGATAACCTGAATGGTAAGAACAATGAATACCCCAATACAAATATATACACCGGCATTTTTTCAACAACGTTTTGACAATTTCCGCTGAAAGATGTAAATGTATTATTTGTTAACCAATGCGATATAATCAAAATTACACACCTGCTCTCCTTCCTCTCCTGTTACTACATCTACAAGATCTGGTAAAGGAATAGCAGGAGCGAAATCAACGTTCGGTTCGAACTCCTCATCAGCCCCACGCTCTACTTCTCCATCTGCACTATTTCCTTTATTCGCTGGTGAACTTGTATTGACAAGATCCTTTTTGTCAGTAACTGCTAGCTAAAACAGTAGATATCATATCAAATAAAGGTGGAGAGGTGTTTGCTACACCATATATAGAAGTGTAAAAAGATACAAATAACCTTGCTTTTGGCTTGCGATGCAAATTCTTCTTGGGCCTTTTTTGTGTGAGCAGCATCAAATATAGATCCGCCAGACTTCACATGATCAGCAAATGACTTACTGCCACAAAACCCACTACCAAACACCTGTTAAAGTTGTGAAATATAACTCGTATGAAATGCTGAGATATCTGCAAAACTCCGGACCACAGGTGTATGCAGTGGGGAACGAACACGCGCTGTTGTCCTTACCGGGGAGCAGCGCACTTCACCACTACACCATCCGGGTCCTTCGCTTTGCATGTGCATGACCCGGATGGTGTAGTGGTGAAGTGCGCTGCTCCCCGGTAAGGACAACAGCGCGTTTTCGTTCCCCACTGTATACACCTGTGGTCCGGAGTTTTGCAGATATCTCAGCATTTCATACGAGTTATATTTCACAACATACCCTGCCATTAAGAAGAAAAAGGTAGTAAATAAAAGAGTTAAGACCTGTTAAAGTATTAGCAATCGCCGTAATATAAATAAGAGCGGTAGACTTAAACCTTCTGCTCTGATTTTGCCTGCTCTGCAGTGTTTTTCTCTTCCTTCTCTGTCTCTTTCCTTTCTTCAACTGCTTTTGATGTGCCAAACAATCGACTGCCACCAAACACAGAGCTTCCGGCAGTTGTATTCGAATTTAATGACCCAGCTAAAATTAGAAACACTTAAAAAGTACTCCCGTGAAATATACTTACAATCTTTCCTGATTTAAAAGAGAAAGTGACTGGAGTTCCAGAATTTGTAGTAGCAGCTGGAAACGCTGACGCCGAAGCATCCGGTTTTTTCGACAATGAGAAGGATGGGAACGTGGAAGAGGCTTCTAAAACTCTACAGTAGCAATCTGAGCATATAAGAACCATCTCAAAAGCACACAAAAATAGTTACATATTGAGCTCATGGTTTCCAAAATGCAAGGATTTAAGCGAAACTGTATAAAAAGTTCAGATCTAGATAACACACCTGTAGCTGGTTTTACAGTTGCTCCTCCAAAGATGGAAGGTTTTGATCCAAAGGAAAGCGCAACAGGTGGAGTGGACGCGGAAGATGTTAAAGAGGCTCTTAAAAATCGATGCACTCAATAAATAATAGCTGCATGTTAGACAGAATTCACGAGATAACAGAATAAGGAAGGATAAAAACAAGTTTTAAAAGAGAATACCCAAACAACGGCGACTTAGTTACTGTAGAGACGGATGTAGCTGGTGAGTCTTTAGCCGCAGCAGCGGCACTTATGCCAAACGTAAACCTTGGCACGCTCGTTTCAGAAGACTTCAATCCGCCAAGAGGAATAGCTGCGGTAGAAAAAATTGATCTAAACATACTAAATTAAAGCAAAGTTGCACAACAACAAAGCGAAACACTGACTGAAACGTGGGAAAACTATCAATGAATTTACGAAAATTCCTAAACATTTCAAGTCCAATTCAAAAATATTTGACATTTATTGCTATGATATGAAGAAAACGCACATTTCAATATCAGATCAAGGTAGAGGGAACACCCCTGGAAAATTGTTTATGTCAATGGAACCTATGCAAACTTCTAATTTCTTTGTAATCCCCAATAAAAATAAAGTCTTAGAGAGAATTTCTATTCCATTATCCTTTCCGTTTTTCTGCCATTAATTACAAAATAAAATTAAACTTTTCCGTTTCTTAGTCATCAGTACAAGCAATAAAAAAGTGAGATCAATAATAACAGTATAATACTTTGGTGCTGCATCTCCTGTCTTGCCAGTGGTTCTGCTCGCACCGCAACAAAGGCATTTCTCCGCTGCATTACGAGAGTAACACTCAGGGCATTCCCATCTAAACAGCAGTAATACGTGAGCAAGATGAATAGCAATTAAGTTTAAGTACGCATCTAAAGGTCGAATGCGTCTAAGACCTACTGCCCAGGTTGTAGTTTGAACTGATCTCCGTATCCCTTCTGTTCTACAGCAGGAGATTTCTCAATGTCTTTGGAGGATATTCCGGCGTCGTTCTTTCCTGATTCTTTCAAATCATTCTTTCCCTTAGCGGTTTCATCTTTCTTGGAACTCTCATTTTCCACTTTGTCGACATGCGAAGATTTTGCGATAAATGCTACAAGCAAGCACTCTAACATATTTAAACATTACTCAGGATTTTCTCATAATAAACATGTAGGTAGCAATCTTCTTACATTCCTCAGGTACCTTAACGGCACTCTCGAATATCTCCTTAAACTTATTCGCCACTTCCACACTGGCGAATCTCGCAGATAGTTTTTCGTGACTTTTCTGTTCCTCAGAGAAATCCTCGCAGTACCACATCATCGCTTTTTCTTGACGAGGCATTGCTTGAATTGTCATGCCAGGTAGCAACTGATGATTTGCACATACCTTGTGTACCTGAACGGAAACAATGATTGCATCAGTAGCAATAGTAATAATAATAGCAATTCAAGAGTAAAAACACAATTACAATAATAGCAATGAATAGATGCTTCGAAAAAATCAAGTGGTAAACAATCGAATAGGTTAAAAACCTGTTCTCTTCGCATCACAATGCGGCATTTCTTGTTCTCAGCATTCTCGAGCACTTTAATTACACCTGCACCACGTTCTTTCCATTCATTAGTCTCATCAGCATAACGATACAGCTTACAGCGTTCTTCGAAGAGCACCTTAAGTATGTGAAAACAAAATAATGCAAATAAGGAGCCCAAACGATGACTCTCGTCTATAAACTTTCCGAACCTATCAATACAGTCAAATAAAGTTACGAAAACATTCCATTCTTAACGTGTTTTAAGAAAATTCCATCAATATCCTACCTTTTCATTTTCCTCTCCGGTTACAATCTTCACGAGCTCCGGAAGCGGGCAAACAGGTTTGAAGTCAATTTGCGGTTCAAACTCCTCAACATGGTCATGATCACCTTCGTCATGAAGATCACCACTTTCTTGCTTGGAAGTGTGTTTTACTTCCGTAGCTAAAAAATTTTACAGATACCCGACAGAAAAAGTTTACGTACATTATGAAATATTAACACTAACACTTTGAAAATAAATTCTGCGTTTTTATTTCGGGAAAGATACTTATAGACTTCGTGGACTCCACAGTAGTTATTGTTGTTTCTGATTTCGGAGTAATGAAAGTGAATGGTGTTTTAGGTGGATTTGAATCAGGTTTTCCAGTCTGCAAAGCGTTATTGTACTTCACATTAGCTTAGAGATACTAGTAATAGTTAGTATTATTAGGGAAGTCAAATATTTAAACAATAATAATAACAATAAGGTTTCTATTCATGCCAAGCGATGAAACAAACGCACGATAAATTTGATGAAAACAAACTACTAGTTGGACATACTAGTTAGTAACGCCCATAATATGCAAAAAATGAGTAAAACACCCACCTGACCCACCTTTACAGGTTCTGTTCTTGACGGTTGGGAAGTACTAATGGGCAAAGTTGTGACAACTGGAGCTGGTACTGCCACGAAAGAACCTATAACACTATTTAATGATGAAGATTCCCACCAAGTTCAACTTTTCTGTCACAAACCTGAAGAACTAACGGTTGTGGTTAAAGTGGACGTCGCAATTTGTGGAACACTACTGGATAAAGGCAGAGTAGCAGTGTTCGACGACTGAATAGTAGCAGGAACAGAAGCTGGTGGTAAGATAGATGGATCATTTGATAGCTTTGGAGCAGACGTAGCAAACATTGAAGCGTTTTGAGGGCTAAAACCACTATAAAAGGTGCACTCGCCGAGAGCACAACGGTAAACGACAGCATTTTAAGGTTAACCTATTCCACCCCTGCGTGAATGCTCCAGGATGACCCATATTGTTCACAACACCTTGCTGGTTTCCAAAATATCCTGCTCCAGATAAACCAGCTGGACGTAGTCTCTAAAAAAAGAAAAGGTTAGAAGGTTCACTTCAAAAAAAAAAATCGCCAATCAACATAAAAAACAGTTCACAACCAGTTTAAAATACCTGCTGTTCTTGCAACTGCTGCAGGTAATATGCTGCGTAATGCGCTTGAACTTGAGCAGCAAGATCACTTAGTGCATTTGCTGATGCACCAAAAAAATTACCTGGTGGAGGAGCATTTGCATAGACCTGAAATAATTTTCACCGAAATAGGAAGGAAAAAATAGCATAAGGACAAGCTGACCACCTGTGCTGGTGTTGCTCGCTGCGGATCTGCATGTAGTGCCTGAGTAGATCCATCTTTTGTTAACAGTGTCTTTATTAAGTCCATAAGTCGTTCGACCTCATTGGCGTGTGTAGTTCGCAAATCATCAACCTTGAGACCTTCACTTACTACTTAATCAAAGTAGAGAAATATGACCAAATATACCTGTTTTTGTGCGCGATCGTCGGTTCTCCTCAGGTCATCCCTAATCGACTTATTAGAGTTTTGCACCTCGACCTTCAATGAGATATTTCGAACTATAATCACAACAGCTTTTCAATCATTCTCTACTTATAACTCTTAGCAGTCAATTAGTCACTTTGAGTAAAGATAATTAATGGCTGATGTATCTATAAATAAATACGGCCCGTGTAGCGCAGTCTTTAGAGGACCCCTGAAATACATAGCAGATTAATGCCCACTCCCCTGAGCCACCAAGCCTTCCATTCCTCCGAAGTCGTCAAATTGGTACCAGACCAGTTTTGGATCACTGCACAAGCCAGATGGTGTACTCAATCACCTCCAACGGTGCTCAATGAAGTCGAACGAATAGTGCATCCCTCAAAAATTTATCAACGCCGAGAGCCTAATCGGTAATTATTTATGTACAAATATTCTCACGGATTGCTCTAGTTGAGCTGGCGCGAGGTTGGTATCAGTTGTTGTTATGATTCGAGGACTGAAGCTTCGGCGACTTCGCCTTTCTCAAAGTTTGCGCACATTTCGTTTAACGAGATCCGTATAATTCGGTGAATCATCAACAGTAGTAATCAACATCTAATATTTAAATATACGCCATTTTGTTTCAAAAAATATCCACTGTTATGGTAGGTGTGGGACCACCCGTGTGTTTTCCATGTGAAATGACGAATGAGACCCGCCCAGCTCACGCGTGATAGTGAGGTCTTTTCGGTCCATCTCTGGATTTTTGAAATTTACCCAAAACGCTTCAAGAGTCCTTCCCGTCGTTGTTTTTGATTCCTGCACTAAAACCTTGACAGACACTTCAACATTATCACCACTACACTTTTGTGGCCTATGTGCACCTAAAGGCGCACTTTGTTGAATTTCAAGTTTTCTATCTAGATGTTCTTTTATATGCATATAAAGTGGTGTACCCATTTCCCTAATGTTTTCTTCAGCGCATGAGAATACATTTAATCTCATGTACAGCAGGCAGATTCCTCTAGGTACAAACAAGACACAAGAGCACAATGGTGATGACTTTGAAGAGACCGCGTGATTCTAGAATAGCAATCACAAACATTAAGGCGCAAGACTTTAAGCGTTCTTGATGGACTTCGAAAGTTCGAATGCCACACGTTATCTGGCGCCTTTCCTCAAATTAACTTTTTGATCTGGGTGTGTTTCACGAGTCATCCCAAGTGAAAACACACACGTGTTGTTCTACACATAACAAAACGGTTGGTAATAGAGGCATTCATCTATCAGATTTCCATAAGTATTATTGATAGTTCAACAAATTATATGGACATCATTATACAAAGTACGTCCAATCTCTGAAGAAGGCTAAGATGCCGAAACCTTAGGTCCCGAGTCACGACAACAACTAACACCGACGTCGTGTCAGCTCAACAAGGGCTGTCCGCAAGAATATGCATATTTTGATTATTTATGCCGAGGTTCATAGAAGGTCGGCTTTTGAGTTATTAATTAATGGCTGAATTTGATTCTTCTAATTCAAACGATTGTTGAACGCGTCCTGTTTCATACCTTTAGCTTTTTTCTGGCTTTAATCATAAAATTCGTGGCATGTTTAATCCAGATGAAGCTCATAAGCTAACATGTGTCCTCCAATGAAACATTTTGATTTCCCGATTTATATTTGAAAATCAGCACGAAAGAATTCGGACTATCCCAAAATAAACTGCAAAGCTCAGTTTTATTCGTAATCGAGTCACTTTTCTTTCAACGCTAAATTGGAGCGACTCAATGTTTTTGAGTGTCTATAGTTGGACTTCGCATGCAAAGTTTCACCCTGACACTAAAATCGGTCTTGTAACCCATGGAAGCTCAACAGTTGTGTTGAAACTTGTAGATGTTTGAAGTGTGAAAAAGAGCTTTCCAACGCCGAATGAGCAAACCAGCTATCATTCAGACCCATAATCCCCAGTGGTCGGCAAATTGGTACCAGACTTGTCTGGGAGGACAGCGCCGCTGGCTCGATACATCGGTACGCCACCGCGAGTCGTTGTAAAGGCCGGATATGCATTCAATCTCCTCCAATGATACTTAACGAAGTCGAATGCATGGCGCATCCCTCAGGGATGATCAATACTGAGTGCTTTATTCTTTTTTATGCACTTAGGTGTACTCTCAAAAACATTGAATCTACCGCTAGAAAAATTTTTGGCGTAATAAAATATCACAAACCAAACCATGAGAAGCAGTAGTGAAGACGGATGGTGCATATGCACACCATACATGGAAACACGATGATGGAGTTTAATGCTATATGTTATGAAATTATCAAACGGAAGCTCGATGGTCTTCACTAAGAACAGATAATCCATCAGGTCTAACATAGAACAACTGTACCTTATTTACTGATAAAGTAAAATGGGGTAACGAATAAAAGTTCCTTCTAGCCAAGAATAAACAAAGAAATCGATTTTCCATTTCGCGGTTAGACGAGTCTGTTATGAAAATGTACCTTCAAAGCCTCCAATGCGTTCAAAACTGTTTGGTACTGACTCACAAGTTGCTGCTGCATATCCACAACATTTGCCACTATCCTTGCCATAGCCTAAACAGCTAAACAGAATCCTCACCTGTACTTAAATACTTCTAGGAATTTCAGAATAAGTTGTAATATTGTACAACTGCGTGAGCCTGATATTTCCAACACCGACAAAGTTCCAACTTAACTACTCTTCAATAAAACGTTTGCTATAAACTATTGCAAGTCTTAACAACAGAAAAACTAAGGAAAAAAAACAGAAAACTCGTACCGACGTTCCTGTGTTGGTGCTTGTAACATTTGACAATATACTATCATTTGGATTCATAGCTAACGATGAGTACCCTAGCAGGCAAAAATAAAAGCATTTTAGAACTTGGAACACTCCAAAAACGACAATAACGGAATCGCAACATGTTAACCACAGGATGAGAAAGTGGCCGAAACGGTGTGACGTCAGTCTTTGGATGCTTAGTGAACGAACATAATTATGATGGGCATTCGACAATTACTGCAAGACACTAGTATTCACTACCGTTTGAAACAAATCCAGCCAAAAAAGTCGAGGCAAAACCTTCCATTCCGAACAAAGAAACGGAAACAACGAACAGCTGAGAACGGAAAAACAACCACCTCTTAAATCCACGCAGAACTCCTTGACCGTTCTTAAAAAGGCAAAACGGCACAAAACATAAGAAGAAGGACGATAGAAGTAAAAAGAATGAACAAAGGAACAGAAGATTGTGATGAACCGACACTCACCAACATTCGAAAAATCGCGCGTCCATGGGTATTAAAGGTGGTAAACACGCAAACAATCGCTACAAGACCGCTCCTCGCAGAAATGTTACCAGGGTGCGGTTTTTGTTTTCAACCATTTTCAGCTTATTTTTTCTTTACTCAGGAAATCGTGCGTAGTAGGAACGTCCTTCTTTTATGTTCTCTTTTCACTTCGAATATTTTGTGTGAGACATTTTCATCGGGAAGTTCAGCTAAGAGTAAACCAATATCAGGCTCGACCACCGTCCTAGTATCAAACTAGTCACATGGTGGCAAATCTCCTTATCCACAAGGGCAGTGACTACATATAGTAGTGATGACCTGCGGCAGACATGGGCTAGGCTGACCTCGGGACCACACTGGCTAAGCCAGCATAAGTCCGAAAACTGGAGAATATACTGTGGACCGCACAACCAGTGAAAACGGACCGTCTAAGTATCCAAGTAAGTATTTTCTGGTGAGACTACTGTCGTGTTGGTTACTGGAATTCATCCTTTTTTGAATCATAGGTTTTGGATACTATCATGTGTTGACTGGTAATAGCTCATATACTTTCCGTTTGGTATCAAAAATTTCGCATCTTCGTTAGTTTTTTGTGTTAGGGGAACTTCTTATGGGCTTCGTTAAACAAGATTGTCGGTCATATTGTAACTTCAGTCTCTATACATGGAATCCAATCAACATTCAGTCAAGTTCTAAGTGTGAAAGGTGGAGTCTTCTCATTATACAAAGACCTGAAAGAGAATGTTCCTCGAAAGAATAGCCGGTGCGTCAAGCGATTGATGATGAACAAATGGGAGATCACTGAAGTAGATAGTCCACGCTCTCTAAACTCCTTACTTAATGCACCATGTGTTACATATCCATAGCAGTATTACATGAGAAAAAACTACTACATTTCGGCGGTCGATATGCAACAAAGCTAGTTATTTTCTTCTTACACCTTGTCATCTTTAATATCCGAGCGTCGTTACCGCCATACGAACTTTGCGACTATAAGTTACAGATGACGCAAAGAGGTAGGGACGAATTTGACGACATTCCGGATGACGAACTTGAAGAAACAATACTCGAAAGGCTTGAAGGTCTCAGTGAAATGATGCCACCAGGTCTTCGCAAGGCAATCAGTAGTGGTCTTTCATGGAGCGTATGGGGTGCGAAGAACCTTTGGTATCTGACTCGTCAAAGCATCTGGATTGCTGCTACGACGTCACTTATAATGTTCATGCCTTATGTTATCGAGAAGGAACGGAGCGATCTCGAAAAAACTCAGGTATCGATCAACTACTTCATTTATTTCCTGTTACTCATTCGAAAATCATTCATAATGATGTGTTACAGGCTGCCCAACAACGACAAATGCTTCTGGGGCCGTCAGCTGCTGTTCAGGCTGCCAAACAACATTAATTCTCCGCAACTATCTCTCAGAGAAGTTTTTCTTGATCTTTGACTTGTGGAAGACTTAATCCAGCAATTTTTCATAGCTCGTTCATGTTAGGTTGTTATCATTGTTATTGTTGAACACAATGAATATTTTTATTTTAGCAAGGTTTATCTTGGTAATTTTATCAACTAGTGGCTACTCAGACCATGGTGTAAGAGGTACTCCTTGGAAATTATTGGAACCGGTCAGCGCTAGAAAAAAACAGGAGGAAGTGAAGAGAAAGGAAGTAGATAGAAAAAGTACAGCCGGGCAGTTCTTAAGGGGTGTTACTTTATTAGAAAGAAAAACTACTTGTTGACAGAAATCAGTCGTCGATGGTAAAGTTGAGCCAAGTGATGCTAGTGTTGTTAGTCTTACATGTTGAGAAAATAAAGGTTTATTGAACACAATTACTACATGATTGTGTTTCGCTGGAAATCATCGTATCAGGCATGGTAGATCCTGTCGACAAAATATAGCTTAAAACTGGACATAGCTATTTGGTTTCCTTTCGGACGAAATTAGATCACCACTTGAAGTGGGTTTATAGTAATGAACTGGAGTTTACAGTAAATAGTTCTTGAAGGTAGATCCAATCCAATGAGCATGAAAATCTGTAAGTGAGGACCACCATAACGAGGTAGATGGCCTCATAGTAAATTGAAGGCTTTGCTTAACTGATACGATCTCTGTCCTAAATTTCTACTCAAAATCAGACCATCATCTTGATGCAAGAATTTTTTTGGCGAAAAGGAGGAAATATACAAAACTCAAGGATATGCGAGAACCCCAAATAAGTTGAGGAATTGTTTTATTCCTCAGCCAATTTTTGAGAAACTGCGGTAATCCTGAGCAGGAATGGAGATTACGATCAGTTCATCCAACAGAACGATAGTTCTTGGGATGCCGAATGTTTGAAAGACATTAGGAGAGACTTGTTTTCGGGAAATCGAACTAGGTTACAAAGCAGACAACAAATTTAGAGTTTATAAAGTTTTACAGAGGGATGGTTAAAATAGACATAAGAAAAGATGACCTGTAGTATGGGCTGGATTTGCAGGTCATAACAAACATGTGCTTATCGTCTGAAAGATCTACAAATTCGGTGCCAAAACAACCGTAGAACAGTGGCTGTAACCAATGTGGTAGCTGTTTTCTTTCATTTTAGGTTGCATGAGTAGCTAATCATATCCACTCTCCATCCCAAGGTTTCCAATGGTCTGACATCGGTATGAGGTCGTACGGCAGTGGGTTCAGACCCAAATATATAAGGAAGCCGACTGCAAGTCCTCAGTTATATGATTTTCAGCTTTTCAGTAGTTTGATTTGGCCTTTCCTTCATCCTTCATGTCGGAGTTGAAGTATCTATGTAGTAGAAAAGCAGTAATACTATGTTGTACAATGTAGGAGAACTATATAACACAGGATAATGTATCACAATTTGCTTTTTACCCGTCATACAAGCTGCTTTCCCGAAAACATTTGCAGCAAGAATGGCGATTGATTCTAGGAAAAAATGATGACATAAAAGGCAGTAGTGCTTGCAATGCTGTGCTACGAGCAACACGTTACTCTTCACATTATTTCGTAAACACATGACTTTCAATGTTATTAAATTAACAAGACCTTAAGACTACAAAAAGGAAGGTCTATATGATGTCCTCGACTGTCACACGTCCTTAGTGATTTACAAGCTCCTCACTTGGGTAAGCCCTAGGTCGAATAACAGAACACTGGAGGACAGACGCCCATGCGATCACACAAGGTCTCAGGATTCCACATGAGGGGTCATATCCAGACTCTAACGTTGAACTCAGCAAAGCTGTTCAGCTCAATTCAGCAAAAGTGGCCATAGAAACTCTAGACACCGAATCCATTATCAGGACAATGACCCTAACAATCATTCGTTTAACGCATCTGAGACAGTGAATCCTTAACCCCGGTTTGCGTTGCTGTAGGATGATCAAGCATGCCAAGGACAAGTGCCTTCATGACATTTATTACAAATAGCCGTCAATGAGTTGATTCCACAGAATGTCAAGCAAACGACAAGAAAGTCTCACACCATGTACTAAAACATACTTGGTACTTGAATGGCCCGTCCTCACTGGTTGTGCGGGCCACAATCTCCACCCCTCAGAGATTTGCTGGCCAAGCCATTATGGTTACCTGGAGTCCCGAGGTAAGCCTGGTCAAAGACTACCCCAGGTCCTCACCACGACAGGCAGTCGCACCCCTTGTGGATCAGAGGGAGATTTACCACCATGCGACTTTGATACCAGGACGGTGGTGGATCCTGGTATTGGTTTACTTATAGCTGGGCTTCCTGATGGAAACGCCAGACTCATTCTCAGCTTAGGAGGTCCTGCCAGGAGATGAACCCCCCTTTACATCGCAGTCCGATATCCAGGAACACCTTCCAGCCAGTATGAGGCGGTAAACCGTTGGTAGGGTACTCAAACATGGTCGCAAATATCTTGTGTACATCTGTTATTCGCATGACTTTAAAATGGTGACCTCAAGGCATCCACCGTTACATTAACAAGAGACAATCTGTTAAAATTCAGTTCAATTCAAATTCAGCTGTAACGAAAACTTATGGAGTAAATGTAAAAGAAATGGCATAAAGTAGGGACAGCTTGCATTAAACTTTATCCTGAAGATTTTAGCACTTCAATATAACACTAGTTTAAAATTTATGTACATAACTGATTCGCTCACTTAAAACCAGCATAGGGTCTGAAACATGCCATATAACCATGATTGAATCCACAAATGAAAGCTAAACACAGCCTGTTCTACATGAAATTGTTCACCAGTGATATTCACTCGAGTGGATGATAAACTGATAATGAGAACAAGAAGTTCAACAACTCGGCTTAGGTTCTGCTGAGAACATAGAATAAAAGACGTTAGTTAAATCACAATAACCCAGGTAATGGTTGAATTGACTCAGTCAATTGACTAACTACATAGCTGATATAGCTTGCTTATTTTCGACCATCCGCCTTGTGTACTGTACTTCAGCTTCGCCTAGTACGGCTTCTCTAAAAACGGATTTCCTTATTGACTTGTTGAATAACCAGTCCGACCTTAGACCTCTTATTGATGCTACATAATGGACTACTCAAGCGAACTTACCGTGTTACGTGTATTGACTCAATGTCGCTGCCTGGTACCATGAATTTAGCATCTAGTAGCACACCTTCGAGAATAGAACGTAATGCTCGTGCTCCTAAACTACGACTAAATTACTCTTATCAAAAGAACACAAACGCTTATTCCAAATCGTACAACAACGAAGTCGCCAGATTCCATAATTCTAGAAAAATTTTTTTAGAACACCTCACCTGTTTTTCGTTCCAATGCCAATTGTGCAACTTGTTGTAAAGCCTCGGATGAAAAGGTAAGATCAACCTATAAAGAAAAGAAGTACCCCATACATTAGTAAACAAAGAAATTTTCGGTCAAGACATCACAATAAGAACTCACGTTATCGATGGCAAATTGTAGTTTTAGTTGAGTTAGTAAAGAATTCTGTGGCTCCGTTAACACACGAACCAATAACTAAACAATTATGATATAGAATAGACGAAATTTCAGGAAAAAAGGTGTAAATGCAAATGTTGACAATCTTATGATTTCAGAATACAGACCGAATACTGGGTGCTCTTTACAAAGATCTGAAATCAATATCAATAACCCTAACACAATACAATGTCATTTATGTCTTCATTAAAAAGCATTAAGTCGTAATTATCCTTGAGAGTCAATGAAGAAAATTTTAAGAAAGCCATATAGTCGACAGTATTTCATCACATTTCCTAAGCAAGATTATTTGCTCGAAGTTTACACGCTTATGCAGACAAAAGCATAAAGCTCACGGCGTTGATGAATCTCTGAGGGATGCGCCATGCTTTCGACTTTATTGAGCATCGTTTGGAAGTGACTGAATGCATATCTGGCCTTTACAATGATTCGTGGTGGCCTACCGATGTATCGAGCCTGTTCTGATATCCTCCCAGACAAATCTGGTACCAATTTGCCGACCCCGGAGCGATGGAAGGATTGGTGGGCCATGGGTACGGGAATCGATTCCACGTGTGTTACAGGGCGACTCCGACCACTGCGCCACACATGCCCCTCTTATACAGACACAGTGTCTTGGTATAGAACCCATCCTATTTTATTATAACACAATATTATAAAGCAACCAAAAATGATTTAACGCATTGCAATATAACCTACTTCTTGGTCAAAAGAATGGAAGGGCACTAGCACAGGAAAGCGTCCAACAAGTTCTGGTACCATTCCAAAATTTATCAAGTCGCCCTGATCTGCTCTAGTAAGCAGGTAATCACGTTTTTGCGACTGCTCCGAATTCGCGTCATCGGGGGAAACACGCATCTCACCGGATGAGGATCCTAAACGGATGTAATTCAAAGACAATCTTAGTCCTAATTTTCATCTCGTACAAGCTCAAAGGCGTGGGACCCTCACCAAATCCCAAGCTTTTCTTGTCGAGTCGTCGTGCAACGATTTTATCTAAGCCATTAAAAGCACCGGAAGCAACGAAAAGTATGTCTGATGTATCCACCTGAAGTCAAAGAAATATATACATCCATACCTTCAGATAACATGAGGTTGATAAAGACACTTATTCGGCTAATTTCGATGCCTTCCTATTCAACAGAGCCGAGGTTAAATGATGGAAGGGTTAGGAAACATACATTTGTCTTCTAAATTTCTTCCACATCTTTCACATTTATCTTCGATCAGGGCACTTTGCTATTTATCAACCGATGTCAACTATACAACAGAAGTCATGTATTCCGAAAATTTTAAAATATTCCGTCTCGAGAAAGATTTGTCGAAGTTTTTGAATCTAGAAGATAGTGGTAATAAAAACCGGTGACTTATAGTTTGAACCGCAACGTTTTAACTTTTTATTGACGACCTACACTTTTTTCATGGCAGGATACTATGTGATATACAACTACAAGGATAATAAAATATGAACAAAACTCGGAACTTCATTTAGATTTCGAACTCGCGATTACTCTTACCGTGTGCTCATGTGCTACCCACCACTCCGACCGAAGCTCTCGCTTTGGTTTTCTCTCAGTCGTGTCTTCACTTTATAGGTACTATCAGTCAGGGGATGATCTGAGGAGCACAAATCAGTATTGAACCTGGTTAAGCTGAAGCTGCTATCGAAAATGCAATGTCTTAACTTTTTTCCAAACCGACCATCATTTGACATCTGCAGTAATAATTAGTACCTTCTAGGCCTTCTTAATTATAATGATTCTTGATAGATTCTTAACCCTTTATTTCCAAATCATTCCAGTTCAAGGGTGAATGCTGGTAGCGCCGATACAATAAAAAAGATGGCTGAGAGAGTAAAGCATGTGCCTCGGATGGTGTGGTGTATAGCAAATGTGAGCTCTCCGCAAAGGAAGTCGCGGGTTTGAAGTCAAACCAAAGTTCTAAGTTTTGCTTACATCTCAGCATCATGGTATTTAATTTACAGTTTAATTCAACCATAATACAAGATGGTTCTGACACACTATTGATTTTCATATATTTCAACACATTAGATAATGAAAAGTTATGAGCTGTACCACTTTTGAATCTGCTCTCTTAAATACGTCATACCAGAAATTTAAGTAGGCATAACGTGGTAGAGCTGCCGATTGATACAGGGTGATTGGCAGCTTTCAGCTGTCTCAAAACAGGAGCATGTCTTTCGCGCATCTCTGATGTTCGTTCACCAACGTAGACCGGAATTTCCGATCTCTCATTTACGTGAAACGGGACACTGATACATTACGTTGTTCTAGCACCTTTTTCTACAATGCGATCGATAACACTGACTGTATTTTAAAGACAATGCTTAAGTAGCAATCATGTTGCTGAGGTATAAATCAAAGCAGTAGGAATGTCAAAAATATGGACCCAAGACATTCTTCATCCTTTTCACTATTTGTATACATTTTTATTACCTCCACCTCTTGAACTAAGTCGATATACCATTCTGAATTCCCACACAACATATACAGGGCTGGAGCATATCTGTGCTCTAAAACGTGAAAGCAGGTTTACACTAAAATCGTTCTCTCTACAACCAAACAGAGACCGATACTTCCACATGCTCACGCGAATATTCTTCGCAGGTGAGTGTCATTTTTCCTGAAAAGATTCGAGCAAAGTGCTTGCATACGACAGCTAAAAAGCAAACTGGGGTACAGTTTCCAGTGTTGTCTAAGTCTCCACTCCTACAAAACACGATGCTGCAAGTTTTCTAATGCCTAGATACCCTAGCTTCAACCGGCAGGATACGAAAAGTCGAGTAGTTACGCAGCCAGAAAGAAGCAATATGCTCCTTATTATATCGGATCTTGTCCTATCGGTGCTCTACAACCTTCCACCGATGTAGTATCATTTCCGACTTTTGGAACGAAGAACTTATACGAGTACCTAGTCATCCAATTTGAAACAACATTAAGGCAGAGGAACGTGGCTGAAGGAGATATCGGAGTAAATACTGTAGATGGCCTTTACACTGCCATGGTGGATCTGTGGAGCGCTCCACCAGTTAATGGTCGTCTTCGACCTGCTTTTGTAAACGTCTTGGCTACTATTTCATAAACTGTCCCTAGTACTTGCAGATTCAGTCACCACTACTGTTCCTCTCTCCTCACAGTTTCTTTTCTCCTTCTTATTTCTTTCCGCTTCGTTTATGGGCAAAATTTGATAAAATTAAACAGACGTAGGTTGGTGTTGTCTGCTGCCACTCCATAATTGCGTAACATGTACTTCTGGCGAAAGCTATCTCATGATGGCTTTCGAATACTCTCCAAGCACTACTGCCGCGTTTGATGAGCTGATTACATTCGCTACTCAAGTTGTCATATACAGTATTTCCCTAAGAATCTATGAGGAAAGCCAGTTCCAATTTGTATAGTTTTGAGGTCCCGTTCCCTTAACTGCTCCAAATTTTTTTATAAGAGAAAATTAAATGTTGCGGGCAAAGCAGGTAATGCAACAGTAATGTCATCTTATCACACTGCAGCATCGCCTAAGTAAAACATCAATCGGTGATGTTGTAAGTCCTCTTTTATCTGTTAATATATCCAAATTTGTTTCTAACTACCTACCTGTACAGTGTCTTGTTGTGCACCAACACTTTTTCGTCCGCTTTTCACATTCACTACTGTACCCTCCACCAATTTCAGTAGTGCGTGTTGTACACCTTCACCACTCACATCACGATATGCAGGAGAATGACCCTCATGAGCAGCTGCTATCTACAAACAGTGATATAAGAGTACGATAAGGTTCCGCCAAAAAAAGAAGTAATAGACAAGTAAATAAGAAGTAACTACCAAAACATTCGAAGCGAAACTTTTCCCTTATATAATTAGTATATCGCAAAAAACCCGACAAAACATTAGAACTTCCTCGTTAAGAAATTGCCAACTGTGGCAAATAAGCATAAGCAGTTCACATCTCCAGCATTACCAAGGAGGTGCTTGAGTAGATAAAAATGTTAAAACTAGATCCAACTGCAACACATCTAACACGACCTGGTGCTGGCCGGAAAAGATCCACTCAGGAGTTGAAAACGGGAATAAAGAACTGTTGAATGCATCACAAAAGAGGACAGATCTAAACAACTATTGCGAAGACCTTTGCGAATGAAATATTGTTGTACTTTTGCTTCCTTATAAGAAGACCAATTCTCTAATACCCAGCGTTGCGATGTAGAGCTGAAATAATAAGGAATAGCAAAAAAAAGTACACTCGTCCTCCTCCACTGTTTATAAGACCCTTAAATCCTACTGATGAAAAACTGAGCACTCTTGGTTACAAAATTAAGGATGAGGGTACGGTTAGAGGATGATGAGCGGCACTGCCTTAGGTAATGGTTTTGCAAATACACTACATCATAGATTTGGAAAATAAGGAACCATAACGCAGTGGAATACCTTGCGGATCTTTGAAACTACAGCTTCATTTGCTGGTTGAATGTGCTTTGCAAGCTCTTAACAATTTTCGTTCTATTGTTGTAATGTGGGTAGGACCGATTCAGACAGGATATCCAATACATCTCAATGATTTCGACCAAACAGTGGAGCGTGTGCTACACCAGGATAAGCAAACGATGTCGCAACCAAAACTATTTACTACCACATTGCAGCAGATAAAGAAAGATAAAAATGACAAGCATTAAATTTCGGAGCAAAACTTTTTTTTTCTAAAGCTAAACAAAGCCAACATCATCGTTTTCTTTTCGAGAAGCACTACAGGCGATGCCTAAATCAATGAAAAAGAAAACGAATATAACTAAGAAAAAACTTGAGAACTCATGGTCAAATAGAAAGTGAAATGAGAAGATTGGCCGCCAATCATATGGACTTCGTGGATCAATTAGTGAACAAAAACTTTGCGACGGTGTAAATCTATGGAATGAAGGAAGAATGGTCCATTTCACAAGTATCAACGAGGCCACTGACCGCCCAATAGATTCAGATGCCCGCGATTAGTTACTCTACTCAATAGTTTCCACACATTTTATACAGCGGAGACGATAGCCAACACCTTAAACACTTTGACGACTTTGCGTACAACTCAAAAAGAATTCAAAGGATGTATTCTGAAGTATGAGCGGCAAAATAACAAATGATGAATTTTTGAAAAGAAAGCCTCGACAAACAAACCGGCTTTCTCAGTGACCAAAATATAACCATAGCAAAATTTTGAAAAGTAGATCAATTGATCAATCAATTCGGTAACGATAATCGAAATACCACCGAATAATCTAAGGCGCCAGCTAGTTCGTAACCGCCTATACGACCGTCTATGTGCAACGCAAAATTGCATAATTTGCCCCAATGGTAGAGATGGTGACTGCATGAGTTCGGGTACAGTCTATCTGATTTCTTGTAAAGCGTGCAGGGACGAATAAGTTGGCGAAACGGGTAGACCACTCTGCGTACGTATAAAAGAACACCTAGCCGGTAAACGTACGTAAGTACTCCACAAGGTACGCGTAGCACGCAGAAACATAACGGAGAAGATTTTGAAGTAAAGGTTACGATCCCCGCGCAAGAATCGAGAACACAGGCGCGCAAAACTCTAGAGGTATTCTGGATAAATTCCAAGAATCCGAAAATGAACCGCAGGAAGGAATGCCTTGTTATCACGCGTGATATTGGACAGTATATAAACCTGTTATTCTGATGGGAGGGGCACATTACGCTTCCGTGTGAATTCTGTGCGGTCGGTCTTCACGCGATATACTCAGTGGAAGACTCATAGAAAGCGGTGAGTGTACAGAGCTATGCTAAATGTGATTGAAATCTTGGTTTAGCGTTTTCTCTGTTTGGTTATGGAGGTGTTTGACCGAGTGGATTGCTGTCAACTTGACCCTTCCAGGCTCTGAGGAAGGCGAAATCCGCCGAAACGTCAGCTTGTGCGTAAATAAAGAAATAAAATATCACCTCGTGCTTGCTGAACAGAAGTAGAAAGATAGATCAATTGAATTTGAAAACGTCGTATGTGGCGTAGTGCTTAGAAGTTACCTCCAATACACATAGGTTCGATCCAGCGCCTCAGGCTCACTGCGCCTTCCATTCTTCTGGGATCGGCAAGTTGGTACCAGATCTGAGGACAGCAACACTGACTCGATACAACGGTAGACCACCAAGAATCACTGTATAGGCCAGATATGCATTCAATCACCCTTGACGATGCTTGCGAAACTCGAATGCACGGCGCATGCCTCATGATTGGTCAATATCCTTTGAAAGGACAGCAGACAACGGAAGAACATCTTGAAGACAGTACCCTCGTGTCAATCAACTGTACTCAATGAACACAGTTTACAGATCATGGAAGAGTACTCACCGACCCACATAAACGACAATCCCATAGATACACAGTATGCTAGAGACCACATGATCTATCCAAGTGTTGAAAGAAGTAGATAAGAAGAGCATCCTTTACTTTAAATGCACGACTGTGAGCAATGAGACAAGATGCACCTTCCCAGACATAATTACAGCTTTCATTTCCAAATTCAAATTTAATTTTAACAAAGACCATTATTCCTGAGTCAGCAAAATTGGTAGAACACTAATCTATGGTGCCAAATCGACTCGATTTTGTCTACTCCCTCCCTGAATGTCACTAGTCTGTCAAAACCGTATTCATGTATGAAAGTGGACTCTAATGCAGTTCTAAGAGCACAATGATTGATGGCGTGAACCTTTAATAATCCGTAAAAAATGCAGAGGGAATGTATAAATAGCACTTGCCTTATCAACCTCATCGAGAAAAACAATGCCTTGTTGAGCTTTTTCAGCATTTCCTCCCGCCGCTTGTACTAACTTCTAAAATAAAGTGTAGCCTAGAAGAAACTACAGATTACCGATTCTATATTGAATATAGCTTCAAGAAAAATGTACACTTCAAGTTAATTAAAGCGTAGTGACCGACCTGGACAACGCTCTCAACATCCTCACCAACATACCCAGCCTGGGTCATAGACGTGCAATCGCAAAGGGCGATAGGGACATCCAGTATTCTGTAACAATGGTAGTATAGAAAACCTAATATTAAGAATAGATATCTGAATCGAGCTGTTCTGAACGCACTTAATTTCAAATACGAGGACAAAATTCGAGCAAATGAAGGGATGAGTGGAGGGAAGCAATGTATCAAACACTTTTCACAAATTTTTGACAACTAATCACAGTGATGCCGAGATATTTGAAAAACTCGAAACCACAGGCCAATCTAGAACCCGCGATTACCCTTTCCGGGGGCTCATGTGTTAACCACTGAATAATCGAAGCCCTTGCTTCGTCTTTCTCTTAGTCCTAACCTTTTGAGTTTAGCAAATATTTCAGCATCATAACGGTTGTATTTCACACAACATCCTGCCATGAAAAAAATAATACACAGTAAATTAAAAGTTAAATACTAACCTTGCCAATGTTTGTGTAAGGTAAGTTTTCCCTACACCTGAAGGACCAATCAGTAAAATGTTGGATTTCTCAAGCCTTATTACAGGATCTTTTTCGGGAATGGCACGGAATACTGGTGGAACACGCCGTGTTGGAATTGTTTGCAGCGAAGGAACTTGCTGAAACAACAAAAGGAACGTAAGATAATATTAGTATGAACCAAACATGTTAGATCTCCGACTAGGGGATATAGAAACGTCCAATCTTCATCAGATACCACCGTACGATTGCTAACTAGAAATTCCGCAAAAATAGTATTGCTCTTCAACAAGACGATATCTTTATAAGAAGTTTCGAATAAAATGTACCTGTATGTATGCGGAAGCCATAGGAGATGTTCGTAATTCACTGGAAGCGATATGGCCGAGTCTGTTTTCTTCCTTAAAAGATGAGTTACTAGTGCCGTCCACCCTTGTTTTAAATTCCACAATGTGAAACTGTGTGCAATAATGCACACCTGGTATAAAACACCTCTTGGTGTATTCTTAACGTCTTCTTTCATCTGATGTATGGAGCCAGCTCCACTCTCAATATTATGCTCAAGACGACGATAGTGCTGATAAACGCCCACTGCGAGTGTTTTTTTAGCCTGTTTCTGACCAACTACGAAGCGATCCAAGTATTCGGCTATCTTAAATTTAGCAGAACAATTGCAATAGGTAAAAAAGGATATAAAGTGACCGGCCTGTGTTTCACAAACTCGCTAACGAACAAGGAAAACTGCTACGTTGGAAGGCATAAAATAACAGAAAGAAAAACTGAGTATACAAGCACCCATTTGCACAAACCTGACTAGGATACGGTGGACTTGTTCTTTGATCATTTTTGACTGTCCACTGTTTAGAGCTTTCTTCTAATATACTACCAACATATAGTTTACTACAATTGTCGCAATGAATATATCTTGTGGTGGCTGAAAAACACAGCGTATTTAAACTGTTGAGCTGTCAAGTTAGAAGATGTTATCTATGAGCAGTACAAAATATAAGCGCGGCCAACAGTGCTGAATTTAGAGAACTACAACGACTGTAGATCTTCCAAAACCAACCATAGTAATCAGTCAAATCTACAAAAAAAACCGTTCTAAAATAGACTACTGCTTCAAACTACAGACATAGCACGGAAATCGCTAACTTTCTAAGGGATGGGCTTCATGAGCAGTAGTTTTACCACTTTCTCAACTGCAATGTATGTTTCATACTTAATTTAAAATACAATAAAGAATTTGCTGAGAGGCATGCCAAACGAAGGACCCGCATGGTGTGGTGGTGAACGCATTTGCCCACGGAAAGGGTAATAGCGCGCTCGTTCCTCACCGCAGACACCGGCGGTCTGTTGTTTTGGAAATATCTCAGCATCACTATGATTGTATCTTAAAACAGTTAACGAAATTTTAGACTAATAATGACAGTACTCACGCATGAGCGTCTGCACCGGCTTCAATGCATTGCCACACTCTTTACACGTTCCAAATGATGACGATGTGGTCCTCGGCGGATTCGTCGTGATGTCGTTACCGGACCCCCCATCACCGGACGTAGTACAGTGTGTGGGACCACTCATTCGAACACCACGTTGGACCTGCTTGCCAGCAGACGAGCGGCACGCATTCAGCAGAAACGTCGCCGACCGATGCATCTATGGTAGGCATGTGGGGACATGAACGATACCATTCAGTACCACGTAACCGAAATTGATCAAATAACGCTTAGAAGAATATGCGGACAGATGATTAGAATACTAGAAGGTCAACGATCGTCTTCGAGTTCGAACCTTCCGTAGTATAAACGAGTAAGTTGAACAAACGGAAGGAAAGTCAAAAATAAGGAAGCAACCAACATACAAAAAAGATGTGAAAAACTTAAACCATAAGAAACTGCACTAACAGATATATTTCAGAGGAATTCACGGAAAGGCTGAACAGAACGATCTCAAGAGGTCTTAAGGAACGTAAGAGAATAAACGATAAGAGGCATCTTAACAAAACATCCACACCGATACAGTGAAGAGAAAGTTTCGGACAGGAAATCCACCCCAAACCAGATGATCAGATCATTTCCGACGGGAAATCCAAGACAACAACAACGACATGCGAATGTCACTTGTCGTGGAATCCTTGGCTGAAGCACATGATGGCGTGCGGTCCTGAACGGAATAACCGATGACGTTACAAATATTTGCTGCTGTTTCAACTGTACAGATGTTCTTCCTTAGTTGTTCAATAGTAGCACTGTTATTCGATGTTCTTCTTACTCTTCTTGTTATTCCTCTTATTTCCACCTTTTCTTGTTCTTATGGTTATTTTTAAACCAGTCTTCTAGACATTTTATGGCTATGCATATCAGTACTGAGGCGTATTGTCTTGATCGCCCCTGGTTTCTTTTCCATGTCATCTCACTGTCCTATTTTTTGTTTGGATTTACAGAGAAAAACATGGATTGATCACTCCTTCGGATTGTACGTTAGCAACGATGTATCGGCACCTTTTCTTGACGATTAGCTAAATAAAGCGAGGTTTGAATTCAGGAACACGATAGATCTTGTTACTAAGTATCCATTCGGTTAACGATTCGACGCCCTCGTATTCTTCAGAGACTTAGATGATGCGAGTCTTATCAATGAAGCAAGTTAAATTGTTCATTTGTACCGAGGTTAAATGAAAGTCTGTTTACAGGGACACTGTAGAGGGGCGGGGAAAGAGTACAACAGTGTTCGGATTTAGCAGAGTTCGCCATTTTGTAGTACTATTACGCGAGACGATCTATCTACAACTCCATTAGCTCCATTAATGGTACATTCAGATATAAAACCATTTCATTAATATTTGGGAACAATGAGTCTTCTGCAGTTTCATAACCAAATAAAACACTACGATATACCAGTACCAATTTTGCAATCTCGTTGTACTTAATTATCCTCAATGTATTCGATTGCATCCAACATTTTATCGCCTCATCGTGACTGGGAGGTGTTCCTGGATGTCGGGCTGCGATGTACAGCGGGTGAATTCTTTCCCCCAGCAGCGTCTCCCAATCTGAGAAGGAGTCCGGCGTTTCCATCAAGAAATTGAGCTAAGAGTAAACCAATACTAGGATCCGTCACTGTCTTGGTACCAAACTAGTCACAAGACGGTAAATCTCTTCCTAATCCACGAGCGCGGCCACTACCTATGATGGTGACAACTTGGGGACGTTTGGCTAGGCTGATCTCGAGACTCCAGTGGACCACAATTGTTAAACCAGCAAAACTCCAAAAGAAAATGGAAATTGTGGTGGGTCCGCACAACCAGTGAAGACGGGCCATCCAAGTATCCAAGTATTTAAGGTCTTTGATTATTAAGCAAACACGAGATTGATTAAATGATTTATTCGGATAATAACTCCCAAGTCCGACTTTCTATTAACCTCGGCATTGATTGAATATAGCTTTCTACTTCTGTTCAGCAAGCACGAGATGCTATTTTATTTTTTTATTTACGCACAAGCTGACGTTTCGGCGGATTTCGCCTTCCTCAGAGCCTGGAAGGGTCAACTTGACAGCAATCCACTCGGCCAAACACCTCCATAACCAAACAGAGAAAACGCTAAATCAAGATTTCAATCACATTTAGCATAGTTCTGCACACTCACCGCTTTCTATGAGTCTTCCATTGAGTATGTCGCGTGAAGACCGACCGCACAGAATTCACACGGAAGCGTAATGTGATCCTCCCATCAGAATAACAGGTTTATATACTGTCCAATATCGCGCGTGATAACGAGGCAATCCCCCCTGCGGTTCATTTTTGGATTCTTGGAATTAATCCAAGAATTATGGAATTATTCGGATAATATTTGGACGTCTTCGTCTTCTTTACAGCCGGATTGAACCGATTCGATGATCCATAGCTAGTCGTCCTCGCGATGTGACTGTTCGTTGTCATATCGAGTCGAATCCAATGAAGCGGAGCACCGATCGATTGAAGAATCTCAGTCGAAAAAATATACCTAGTGTCCACGACCGACTTTCTGTTAACCTCGGGATTGACCAAACAATTCTTTATATTCTCGTTGAGCTAACTTGAGGTGTTGTTTTATTCTTTCTTACGGAAAAGCTGATGTTGAGGCGGATGCCTTCCTCGGAGCCTGGAAGGGCCAAGTGTATGAAGTCATAACACGTGTTTGCTTAACAGGAACATAAAGATTTTGTCCCTAATGTATTCTTATGCTGGTGAAACTAACTTTGGACGATTTTCAAGTCACATAAACGTTATCAGGGCGCGTGTGGCGCAGTGGTTGGAGGCGCCACTGCGACGCACATGCAGAGTCAATCTCGGCCCTCATGGCCCACCAAGCCTTCCATCTCTCCGCGGTCGGCAAATTGGTACAAGACTTATCTGGGAGGATAGCAGCACCGGTTCGATACATTGGTAGGCCACCGCGAGTCATTGTAATGGCCAAATATGCATCCAATCATCTGCAAACGGTACTTAATGAAGTCGAACGCATGGCGCTTCCCTCAGGGATTGATCAACGCCAAGAGCTTTATCCTTTTATCCTTTAGAAACGTTATCGCTCAAATTTTGTCACATTTTCAACCCATGGGCGCTTTTTTCTAGCCTCCTATCAATAGCTCATCATTTCATCTCTTCTTGTCTTATCAATCCTCGTGGTCGGTCCATGTTAGCTAAACAGCATTCATTCAACTTTTCCACGTAATGATAATTTTGCTTTACGTAGTTCATCCAGACTCGGTCATTTCTCGATCACTGAAGAAGTTGAACAACTGAGATTTTCTCATTTTTATAGAGGAACTTTGATTTAACGTCTCGAAGATGAACATGTGTATGTATGTGCATATATTTCCCAAGATCGACTTTCTCTTAACCTCGGCATTGGAATATGAATGTGTCGTTTTCTTGTTCAGCAATCGCGAGGTTTTTAAACAGCATACATTTACTTCCATAAAAACACAATACAATACAACGCTAGCTGACGTTTCGGCAGTATCGCCTTCTTCAGAGCCTGGAAGGGTATACTGATACACAATCTACTAGGCCAAACGCTTCAATAACACTTACACAAAGACGAAAGACTCTTTGGTAACCACACGATCAACAACTTCTCGAAAAACCCACCGCTTTTTCGTGACTTCCAATGAGGAAGTTTAGAACAGCTGATTATAGTCGCATGTGGTTGACGACTGCACCATCGCACATCAAAAATCGATGCGAACGTACGGGATCAGGTTGCGTATGATCTCCGGGCATTCGTCCCTGCTATTCATTGTAGGGTTTTTGGCATTGATCCAAAAAGCCTCTAGGAGTTTTCGCGCTGGTGTTTTGGACTCCTGTGCAAGGATATTGACTTTCACTTCAAAATCGTCTCCGCTATGCTTTTGTATCCTATGCGTGCCTAGTGGGGTGCTTCGTCTTAGTTTTCGTTTGCCATCTAGGTGTTCTTTTATACGGATACACACAATTTATACGGATAATCAGGTATATCGCACCTGAACTCATGCAATCACCGTCCCTGCCGTAAGGGCAAATTACGCAATTTGTTGTTTCACACAGACGGTCATACAGGCGGTTGCGAACTAAGTGGCGACGTAGAGTAGTCGGTGGTATTTCAACTATCGCTACCGATTCCTCTAGACCTGCCCTTCTTAAGCATCGTTTTATAGCTGCGCTTACTTCGTCGCTTATAAAAGGCAACATAAACGGGATTTTGTTTTGGCCAAGCGTTTCGCGTGGGCGCGTCGTTCTCCTTGTAAACTTATCTCGTGGGGTTACTATTTCGTAGCCATTGGAGATGGCTATTTGCCGGGCCATGTCGCGCGATTCTTCCTTTAGTTCCCTANATCAGGTATATCGCACCTGAACTCATGCAATCACCGTCCCTGCCGTAAGGGCAAATTACGCAATTTGTTGTTTCACACAGACGGTCATACAGGCGGTTGCGAACTAAGTGGCGACGTAGAGTAGTCGGTGGTATTTCAACTATCGCTACCGATTCCTCTAGACCTGCCCTTCTTAAGCATCGTTTTATAGCTACGCTTACTTCATCGCTTATAAAAGGCAACATAAACGGGATTTTGTTTTGGCCAAGCGTTTCGCGTGGGCGCGTCGTTCTCCTTGTAAACTTATCTCGTGGGGTTACTATTTCGTAGCCATTGGAGATGGCTATTTGCCGGGCCATGTCGCGCGATTCTTCCTTTAGTTCCCTAGTAGTGCATACAGAGGTGGCTGTTCGAAACATGTTTCTCACAATCGCCCTCTTTGCGTGTGAAGGGTGGGAAGAAAGGAAATGAACAAGAATGTTCTTGTTACTTGGCTTTTGATACCACTTTGTCAGGTAACCGCTACTTGATAGGTTTATTTGAACGTCCAAAACGGAAGCCAGTTTTTTCTCGGTTTCTCCCGAGTGAACTTTATGTACTTGGACTGCTCGTTCAATAATTCAAAGCATTTGTCCATCTCCTCCTGCGTAGAGAAGACGACTATGTGCATATATGTATATAGACATACATGTATACACGTCCGCATGTGTATATACATATATACATGCGTGTATATCTTTATGTATAAAAAGATACTCTCCGTGAGGTAGAGAATACTCTCCTATTTCATTTTATCAACACGATGAAACTTTTGGACTGGTCGAGAATATAGAGACTCTTCTGTACCTCGTAGGAAATACTCCTTATCTCAAAAACCGACTTTGCTTTAACCTCGGTATGACAAATCAACAAGTGTTTAAATTGTTGAGCTTACACATGATCGATAAATTACCCTAATTCGGGTAATGTTTCGACGTCTTCGTCTTCATCAGAGCCGATGATCGGAGTCAATGGTCCACACTCGTTCGTATTCTCGATGTGGTGTCTTCGTTATCGAACCAAGAAGGTAGAAGAAAACAAGGAGAAGACGAACGGCTGTGCACCATTCACTCTGATCATTGACTCTGATGAAGACGAAAACGTCGAGATATTAGCCGAATAAAAATAATTTACCAACCTCGTGTAAGCCCAACAATTGATACACTATATGATGTTATATATTATTTTTTTTTTTATTTTCTATATGATCCGTGTTCACGTATACTGTGCGGATCCCACCACTTCTTATATTCGTTTTGTTTCCTCGCATCCATTATCCACGAAGATCAACTTTTACGTGTGGCTTTACCTACTGCTTGAGGATTTTCATTTCATCTTGAATGTTGTAGCATTCTAATCGAGTAGATTCTCCCCAGAGTCTTGGGATACCCGGGCTGGAGAGTTTCCATTTGGATTGCAGGGAGTGATTTTTTTCCCGGGCAAATCCGGTTACATATATTACTATTCCTACATTACATGCTTCCTGTCTTCTCATGTTACCATATATTACATATAAATGTTAGTTACACAATGTTCTTTGAAGGCGATTTGTCGGCTGATGTGCAGTGTAACCACTTCGGTCACAACTCTAACCTGTAAGTTATCTCCGGTGAGTATGGCAAAACTATGTTCCATGGCACCCTTATGACCGTTTTGTCCTACTCCAAGCTTAAATAACGTCATTCCATTCACCTAGACACCATCTTACACGCATCTTCTCCATCCTACTTCCTCCTTCGAGGAAGTAGATGCTAATTGTTGAGCTTAGCCTCACGTAAACAATGGTTTTGTAACACTGATTTATTCTCAGAATATGCCATGATTCTACTATGGAAAACTCCATGTCATTGTAGGTGCACCTCCGTACCTGTGTTGGTCCAGTCCATTCGCTCTGTTATTGTATATATTGTCTGTACATCACTTGAACTCGTTGCGATTGTTATCGTTGTTAGTATTATTCATCTTATTAAGGTTTCCATTTTTTAAGTTAGGGTTTAATTGCTAGAGTTTGAGACCTCGAACTGCGGCACCAGGAAAAGCTTCGTGTGGCACACCGTACGAAAAGAAGCAGCTACCACGATATCAACAAATTTGGTGACTTTACCGGGAAAAATAGAACGGTTCGTTTAATTACGCAAGTCTTTGCCCAGTCTCTACACTACACGACACAACGTCTATGCTTCAAACCGCGGTCTTAAAAGGAGAAAACCTACAACGAAGGTAGTTCACATTAACGATGCCAACCACGATTTCCCATTGTAATAATCTTTCGACTGGAACGTCCAACTGGTTCTTAGTCATTCTTTTGGAAATTGAATATTCGAAAAATGTTCGAGGTTGCCATCAGGTGGATCGAAACACAAAAAACACCAAATGTGCTACAACTAAGAATAGAATGGAGGATAAACGAGATAGGAACATATCAACAATGTCTAAGCAGCGCTAATAAATAATACTAAAGCAGGAGATCTTTTTGACTCGAAAACCGGTATAAAAGTAACCCGGAAAAGAGTTGAAGCAAACGCAGAAAGAACAGTTGGTTAGCTTGGCAGCTCTCCATCTCACCAGACCCAAGAGCTTTAAGAATAGGCTAAGGTTTATAAAAAGTGGTGTCACGAACCACAGAAATTCCGGCGATAGAAGATAGTGCAAGCATAACCGTACAAATTTCGCAAGAAACCGTCCCGGAACATGTGGGAATCTCACCCTGTCTAAATTGCGTGATGGCACTGCAGCGTAGCTGCAGAATCAGCCAATAGTCAAAGAGACCAACTAGTCGAATCTCTTTAAAGGATCCATTGGACACAATACCACGCGTGACGAAGCAATAACGCTAACTTTTCAATCCACAGAGCCAAGAGGGATTTTCCACGCGTCAGCAAATCAATCAGGATCATCGGCGAGTACCAGTCGTTCCACGTGGAGTATGAAGCGTTCCAAAACTCCAACATGCGACATTCCCATACCACAATGGAACTACTGAGGGTGTAAAGCACGAGAATTCATCCTACGTTTTGCCAACATTGTGCAAAAAATTCATAGTAGTGCCGTCAATTCTAGTATTTTTATATAGTTTATGAACCTCGAATCTGAAGTATTGGTGCCTTTTGCTCTACCAAACTCATTTTGTTTCATATTGATGCGAAATTTAATGCAATAGAACGGTAATCATGACGTTACAACGAAAAATTGAGCCGTCATATGTCAATTTTTAATTTTGATAGTTTCAGACTGAGCTCAACAGTCGTCCTGATGGGCAATGGGCCTGAAGATGAATGAACGACTCATTATAGTCATTGGTCTCTTTTTTCTTGCAACTGTTTCGTTTTTTTCATTATTCCTACTACCATCCAGTGGCACCGATAAACTTATCAGCAATGAGCATATCGTGCCTCGCGTTAGGGATATTTATGCTCGGTGAGATTTGCTATAATGTTATTTCGGTTGCTCCACGAAAAGCCAGATGTGGATTCAGAAAGCATATGCGAGAGCAACAAGCTGCGGAACTACGAAGAAAAGCCGAACAGGCAGGTATTATTGCCCCACCCATACCAAAACCGGAGGTGGCCGGTTCTGATGATAACGAAGCACGTCGAATTACTGTGAAGCAGGTGATCTACCCATCGTTTCATGTCAATACTGCGTTGAATTTCCACATCTGCAAAGGAATGTTTGTATCTAGATGACTAAATTCGCGTGGGACAGTTACAGAAAATATGCATGGGGATCGAACGAGTTACGACCAATTTCAAAGAAAGGTTATTTTCTTCTTGTAAACTTTCTTATATCCTTCGCTTTTGAGCTGATTTTTTAGACTTATCATCACTTATTTCCCTGAGCTCTGTAATGATCCATAACGATGTTGTAGCTGTTACTTTGCAGTTGATTAAAGCGATATTAAAAGTATTATATTTCCAAATATATTGGAACCAAATGGCTGTTCACCATTGCAACTCTGAAAAACTTAAAAATGCTTTTAAGGTCACTCTTCGTCGATATTTGGTATGGGAGAGATGGGCGCAACAATCGTGGATGCTATTGATACTCTCTGGATTATGGGCCTTAAGGAAGAGTATGAACAGGCACGAAATTGGATTCAACACAACTTAGATTTTGTGCTAACAGCAGTATGTTAGTTATTGATGATGTGCACAACAGTGTCTTCTTGTTTTTACAGCATCTTGTTCTAGAAAGGTGATTTGTCCATTTTTGAAACGAATATCCGATTTATTGGAGGGCTTTTGTCCGTATACGCACTTACGAATGATAAGGTAATGCTCATACTTTTTGCTGTTGTTGTTACTGCTTATTCGCCAAACTTCCATAGATGTACCTTGAAAAAGCGGAAGCAATTGGGAAGCTACTTTTACCAGCTTTCGATACTCCTACAGGAATTCCATACGCTCTTGTTAATGTGATTACCGGTGAGTATCTGTTTGTTGGAAATGAATCAGTTATCGCTCCTATTATAAGAATAAAGATCAGAGCTGAGCCAGAGCTATCTTCCCAACCTCTGTTGAATGTTTCTATGAGTTGTTCTTGAGGTTCGACTAAGAACTATGGTTGGGCAAGTGGTGGATGCTCGATTTTATCTGAATTTGGTTCGCTCCAGTTAGAATTTGATTATCTGTCAGTACTAACAGGAAACAACATTTTCTCAAACAAGGTTAGTTTCGAGACAAGCCGCTAGCAAAGTGAAGCGCAGTTCATCTACATATGTTTCAAAAAACTAAATCGTTCCTTTAGCATGCAACCGTTGCATTTGTTTCCTACAGGTCCAACGCATTCGTGAATTTCTAAGTGAGGCTGAAAAGCCAAATGGTCTCTATCCTCTTTATCTCCATCCCAAGACTGGCAAATGGTGTTCAGGTGTGTTATCTATCTGTTTGTCTTTCGTTTGCTTTTATATTCGAGTCGAAGCAAATCCTCACTGGTCAACTTGAGATTTTTTGCTACATTTGATGTTTTCAGTGAGTCATTCTATTGGTGGATTAGGTGACAGTTTCTACGAATACCTTTTGAAACATTGGCTGATTACTGGTAAGAGAGATACACACACTAAGAACGAGTATGATGCAGCAATTTTTGCTATGGAGAGAAAGATGTTATTTCGAAGCAAGAAAAGCAAACTTTGGTAAGATTCTGAAATTTGTATTACTTTGTAGATTTTATGCTTTGTATGCTTCACGTTGTGCTGCCCCACAGCAGACCAGTCTTTTAGAGGATGTTTGTAGATAATGTGTTTTTAATCCCACAGTTTAAGCTGATACTTACATATAAGGTATTTCGCAAATCTTCACGGTACTCGAGTAGAACATAAAATGGAGCACCTTGCATGCTTCTCTGGTGGGATGTTTGCTCTCCAGTCAGCGAATGAAGCGAATTCCACTGTGGCGGTGAGATGACTACTTCACCATTAACTCAATATATCCTACCCTCAATTTTCGTTGAAGGCTCATTACTTGGAACTTGCTGAGAAGTTGGCCCACACATGTCATGAGTCTTATATCCGTAGCGGTACGTTTCCTTCTTCGTGTGAATTATTTTTTAAGACTTCAAGCACTTCTTATTTTCTAACAATTTTACAGCCATTGGTATTGGCCCAGAAGCTTTTCGATTCGCAGGTGATATCGAGGCAAAGGCAGTCTCAGTCAATGAAAAGTACTATATTTTGAGACCAGAGGTAATTCTTTCATGAGAATTGTATAGAACCACATCAGAAACCGTGTTTGTAATAGGTAGTGGAAACATGGTTTTACCTTTGGCGCATCACAAAACAGGAGAAATACAGACAATGGGCATGGGATGTTGTGGTATCCCTAGAGAAATACACAAAGGTAAATTTTCTTTTTTGGCCAAGAAAAGTGAAGTGTAGCAGTACTCCATTCCTCATCTCGATGTTTAGGTGGAAGCGGGATATTCTGGGATTGTCGACGTATACTCGTTGCCTGTGAATCACGACGATGTCCAGCAATCGTTTCTATTTGCAGAACTCTTCAAGTACTTATATTTAATTTTCGCTGATGACAGTACTTTGTCATTGGATCGATGGGTGTTCAATACGGAAGCTCACCCTTTTCCAGTTCGGATTCCATAGCTACCCCTAGTATGTGATTCACTGTTAGAATTCAAGTTGCAGCATATGCTTCTTGGAAATTGTCGTGCTTAGCCAAGTCTGCCAATCTTCAGATTACTATTGGTCCAAAATAGATTAAAACCGGTGAAGTGAGATTCTATTGAATCAGTGGCATTTATTACGCTCATAAATTCCTCACTTAAAAATTCTGAAGTTCTATTTTTGAGGGGTCTTGTCTAGTGACAAAGCAATATATGGATATCACTGTGTTTAGAAACTATGCAACATATGCAAGTACTTATTTTTCAATTAAGTAGATGTAGAAATTTGTTCTAAAATTTGTAAGTTTGTGACTGATATGAAATTGGGTAATAATTTTGGTGTTTTGTGGAAATCACAGCATCGCTGACATCTTAGTATCAATATCCTGTAGTCATAGCTGCAATAGTGTAGAATTAGTGATAGTAGTAGTGGTTGTGGTTGTAACCAAATTCCTTGCTTAAATTTCGTAAAAAAAAAAGCCATTACTGAAATGTGAGAGACGTTCGGAGCAGCCAATCCTACTACTACTTTGTGCAAGCCAAATTTGCTCGAGGTTGATTTGAACACTCCCACGACCGATTTTCTATTAACCTCAGCATTGATCAAGTAATTCTTCGTATTCTTGTTGAGCAAACATGAGGTGTTACTTTTATTCTTTATTCACGAATAAGCTGACGGTTTCGGCGGATTTCACCTTCCTCAGAGCCTGGAAAGGTCAAGTTGATAGCAATCTACTCGACACCTCCATAACCAAACAGAGAAAACGCTAAACCAAGATTTCAATCACATTCAGCATAACTTTGCACACTCACCGCTTTATATGAGACCTCTACTATGTCGCGTGAAGACAAACCTCACAGAATTCAAATGGAAGCGTAATGTGACCATCCCATCAGAATAACAGACTTATATACTAGCCAATATCACGCGTGATAATGAGGCATTCTTCTCTTCTCGAGAGAAATCTCTCGAGGTTCGAAAAAAGAAAACTCGAGGCGTTCTGGGTTAATTCCAGAAATCCGAAAATGAACCGCAGGAAAGAATGCCTAATTATCACGCGTGATATTGGGCAGTACAATATGAGACTGTTATTTTGATGGGATGGGCACATTATACTTCCATGTGAACTCTGTACGGTTGGTACTCACGCAACATAGTAGAGGCCTCATATGAAGCGGTGAGTGTGCAAAGCTGTGTCGAATGTGATTGAAATCTTGGTTTAGCGTTTTCTCTGTTTGGTTATGGGGTGTTTGGCCAAGTAGATTGCTGTCAACTCGACCTTTCCAGACTCTGAGGAAGGCGAAATCCGCCCAAACCGTCAGCTTATTCGTGAATAAAGAATAAAAATAACACCTCGCGTTTGCTCAACAAGAATATGAAGATTTGAACATTGTTGAAAATACATAAGTGGTGTAGTAGAATAAAGACCTGTAGATTAAATCTGCAGAAAGAATAACGTAGAGGAAGTGGGCAAACGACCTGCATAGTTTCGTTCTAAATGATCCAATTCTGGTTTGTATTTGATGACGCAAATGTATATATGGGTTTTGTTATCATGTTTTTCTCTGGTTCAAGCCTGTACTTTCGGTTGTGTGTACTTTCGGTTGTGATATGTGTCGTATTCTGCCATAGTTTCTCTTTTCTCGAGTTTTTAGGTGGAGCGCATCATTGCTCATGTAATACTTCTGATCAGAAGACATAAAACGGTTACATTATCGTGTTCTAACTTGTTGAGTTTTTGTATCCTCTATATCATATGATAGATTTAGAAAGAAGCATATTTAAAATGAATATTATGAAATCCTGATTCAAACGACTACAATTTATCACGACATGGAAAGTCAGAACAAGTAGGTACTTCACGAATTCTCGATGGATTGAACGCAATAAGTGCACTATTTATAGTTCCCAGGATCGACTTTCTATCAACCTCGGCATTGGAATATGAATGCGTCGTTTTCTTGTTCAGCAATCGCGAGGTTTTTAAACAGCATACATTTACTTCCATAGAAAAACACAATACAATACAACACTAGCTGACGTTTCGGCAGTATCGCCTTCTTCAGAGCCGCTTTTTTCGTGACTTCCAATGAGGAAGTTTAGAACAGCTGTTAAAAACCTCGCGATTGCTGAACAAGAAAACGATGCTCTATTTATTGAATTAGCACGTGTTACCATAAATTAGTTGGGGCTATGCAAGCTGCTCGAAGCACTAATTTTACTTCCTAAAGTCCTATTAGACAAGAAAGCCCGATAATGGTCTGGTTGCTTTAACATTTTCCCAACCACACTTCTTCACCTTCGGTTTCTTCAGCATAAAATACCTAATTTTTTGCTGCGCACATTTGGATTCATATGTGATCCATACCAGTCAAAGAATCCCTTCTTCAGATGTCAAGTTCCCCCGTTGACAACAGTCTTCCCCAACATTCTATCTCTACTAAAAGCAAGGAGTCGTCTCGGAACTTGTGGAGACGGAAAAAAGATCGTTCTCTAGTGACAGTTTCGGTAAATGGAAATCTTTAAGGAATAGCTTCTCTCGTTTAAGGAATAGTTTCTCTCGTACAACGGGTAGTACAGTTATTGAAGACACTATCGATTCGACTTAAAACATTTTGCAATGAATGCCTACGCAGCAGGGATTCAAACAAAAAAGATAGAAGGAAACACGAGCCATACACACGGTCCGTAGGTCACTCATACCTATGGCTCATATACGACTCATGTCGTTTACAAAGTGTTAAAAGAGACTTTGCAGCCAGTGATGTGCGCCGATCTGAATGTACGGGAAGCGCACAATCACTTTATTGCACCCCAAGGACCTGCAAATTACAGGGTATAAAGTGTTAATCGACAACGAACTGCACCCTAAATGCACTTAGAAAATTGGAAAAAAAAGACGAACGATCAGGAAACCGTTGGTCCTGCTGCGTTAATGTTTCCGATTACACTAAATTACTAGACTGGCGAGGGAAATGATGATCGAAGAAAACGAAAATCGCTCAGATTAGATGTTTCACATTCAAAATAAGCTTATCTATGATTATAGTAACATATTTGTAATCGAGAGTAGTTGGAAAAAACCATGCTTACTATTGATAACAGCTTTGGTATGATAAACAGCTAATTGTATATTCTCTCTAAGCTCAATAATCCACTACACTCCTCCTCCGGATCGATTCACGCTTGGTGTATGCATCTCGTCTAGATATCGTACTAGGCGATTACCGCTTATCTGACCACCTTTTAGTCCAGAGTACAGCTTAACATATACATTAAACTCACGCTATATTTAAAGCGATAGAACAAATTTACCTGGAAGAATTCAGCGATCTCGATCTCACCGTTCTTATTCAAGTCGACTTCATTCAGCAGTTCATGTAGTACACGTTCATCAATCTTCTCATTACGTTCCTATAAGGATGTAGCAAGTACTAGGAGATAGAAATATCTACATTCCACAAAGTCTAGGATGACTATTAGTTCAAAACTACTCACTCTAAAGTATCGTCTAAGATCGTTAACAGTGATGTGCCCCTTCTTATCCTTGTCCAAGATGTTGAACCGCTCTTTCGCTGTTTTAATTTCCTCACTATAAACGGGATACCATTTCAGAAGAATAAACCTCAAAATAAAAGTGTCTAGTATCAGTGAAGTGTCAACTTTTATATTTAAGTATTACAAAGGATTATGGCGATGCTAAACAGCTCAAAACTGACGAGTTTGAAGGTTCTCGTCGTTCTGCCTTCCATTATACCGCGAACAGAATATATGATAAGTACAAAAATTTCTTAGAAAACAAGAGCACCAAAAATTGAGAAACGGACGAATTGATTGTGCAAATAGGTATTTATTGGTTGAGAAATGTCGGCAAGTAGTTGGCAAGACATAGTGATGACAACCGTTACTTATTGGGAGAAATCTGAGAAAGACGGATTCTGAAGTGATCTAATTCGAAGACGTCCATAAAGTGAATCATCACTACTTGGATGAGTAGTGCATAGCTAATTTTTTTTAACACAGGAACTGTTCTAAAACCAACTAGGAACCTCAGGTAAGGCTCGTACTCGCAATTACTTTCACCGGGGTTCACGTGCTGCGTACCACATCAACCAAAGCCTCCGCGTTGTCTTTCTCTCAGCCACATTTTTACTTTATTGGTGCCATCAGCAATCACCAACAAACGGGAACGATCTGGGAGCACAAATCGGCACTGAACCCCACTACGCTGAAACTGAGAAATAAGCAAAAGCTAGAGCATTATAGCAAATCCCAAAACCGACCTTCCTTTAACCTTGGCGTTGATTAATAATTAACTGTTTTTCTTCATGAGCAAACATGAGGCTGTTATTATTGCAGGATTTGAAAGAAGTGTTTGCTATGCGAATGAAAAGTTTGTTTTCAGTCTTGTCTGCTAAGGTTATGAAACTGTTTGGCTGAGTAGATTGCACGTCAGTTTAACCTATCAAGGCTCTGAAGAAGGCGAAGCCGCCGAAGCGTCAGCTATTGCATATTAATAAATGCTGTGATGACAACCGCGTGCTTGCTCATGAAGAAAAGAAAAGCAGTGAATTAGAACATTGTGATTTCGACTGCACCACCAGCTTAACTGGATCCAATGCCGATTTGTGTTTCCTAGACCATTTGAGTTGACGGGTGAATGCTGATAGCAACAATGGAGTAAAAAGACAGCGACAGAAAGGTAAAGCAATGGCCTCGGTTGGTGCGGTGGATAGCACGTGAGCTGCCGGTTGGGGTAATCATGGGTTCGAAGTCCAACTGAGGCTGCGCGTTAGGCTCATATCTTAGCATCCATGTGATTGTATTTCACAGAGTGTATTACAACTATAAAGTAATAGGCTGGAAAGAAAAGCTAAGACATTGTTATAAAAATTTTTATCGAGTTTCTGACTTGCTTTATGCATCTGGCACTCAACTTTTATGCTCTGCATAGGATCCACGCTAGTTGATTCCATTGGAGGAAAACTAAATTACAAACTTCCTAGCAAAAATTGTTCAACGAAATTAAAAACGATCGCCATATTTTCGATTGAGGGAGGCACAACAACCCTTGAATTCGCTTCAACATATGAACGCCGATGTTGATTTTTTGATACCTATCGATAATTTTTTGGAAGCTACACAAGCTGAGGAGTCGAGAACCGATTTCCAGAAGAGGCTTCTTGGGAACGCTTTAGCTCGGCTACCCCAAACTTCAGGGAGAATTGACCTGAGCAGTATTCAGCGACAATCACGGCGAAAGGAAAATCCTCAAGAAGTAGCCGAAAACACACGTCAAAACCGCAAGACTTTTGTGGATGATGGATGAGAAAAACGAATCGAATCCACATAGCTGATGTGAAAAACCAGTCGTCTAAGATAAAAAAAAAGAAAAACGGAAGAAGTTCATCTCATCGCACTAGGAATTAAGATGATTTTTCTAAGGCTTTTCATTTACAAATTTGTGAAAATTCAAATGTTTAAGGAAGGAACGCGAAATTTAAATGTTAGAGTTCTCAGGATCGACTTTCTATTAACCTCGACATTGGAATATGAATGCGCCGTTTTCTTGTTCAGCAATCGCGAGGTTTTTAAACAGCATACATTTACTTCCATAAAAACACAATACAATACAACGCTAGCTGACGTTTCGGCAGTATCGCCTTCTTCAGAGCCCGGAAGGGTATACTGATATGCAATCTACTGGGCCAAACGCTTCAATAACACTTACAAAAAGACGAAAAACTCCCTGGTAATTACATGATCAACAGCTTCTCAAAAAACCCACCACTTTTTCGTGACTTCCAATGAGGAACAGCTGATTATAGTCGCATATGGCTGATGACAGCACCATCGCACATCAAAAATCGAGTGTTTATGTCTAAGATAGAAGCCCCTGTTCTCGATCTCCGGCCACTACTCTACTGCAGATATGTAGATGATTGTTTTGTCGTCTTCTCTACGCAGGAGGAGATGGACAAATGCTTTGAATTATTGAACGAGCAGTCCAAGTACATAAAGTTCACTCGGGAGAAACCGAGAAAAAACTGGCTTCCGTTTTGGACGTTCAAATAAACCTATCAAGTAGCGGTTACCTGACAAAGTGGTATCAAAAGCCAAGTAACAAGAACATTCTTGTTCATTTCCTTTCTTCCCACCCTTCACACACAAAGAGGGCGATTGTGAGAAACATGTTTCGAACAGCCACCTCTGTGTGCACTACCAGGGAACTAAAGGAAGAATCGCGAGACTTGGCTCGGCAAATAGCCATCTCCAATGGCTACGAAATAGTAACCCAACGAGATAAGTTTAGAAGGAGAGCGACGCGCCCACGCGAAACACTTGGCCAAAAGAAAGTCCTGTTTATGTTGCCGATGAAGTAAGCGTAGCTATAAAACGATGCTTAAGAAGGACAAGTCTAGAGGAATCGGTAGCGACAGTTGAAATACCACCGGCTACTCTACGTCGTCAATTAGTTCGTAACCGCCTGTATGACCGTCTGTGTGAAACAACAAATTGCGTAATTTGCCCTTACGGCAGGGACGGTGATTGCATGAGTTCAGGTACGATATACCTGATTATCCGTATAAATTGTGTGTATCCGTATAAAAGAACACCTAGATGGCAAACGAAAACTAAGACGAAACACCCCACTAGGCACGCATAGGATACAAAAGCATAGTGGAGACGATTTTGAAGTAAAAGTCAATATCCTTGCACAGGAGTCCAAAACACCAGCGCGAAAACTTCTTGAGGCTTTTTGGATAAATGCCAAAAACGCTACAATGAATAGCAGGGATGAATGCCCGGAGGTCATACGCGACCTGATCCCGTATGTTCGCATCGATTTTTGATGTGGGATGGTGCAGTCGTCAACCACATGCTACTATAATCAGCTGTTCTAAACTTCCTCATTGGAAGTCACGAAAAAGCGGTGGGTTTTTTCGAGTTGTTGATCATGTAATTACCATAGTTTTTCGTCTTTTTGTGTCATTGAAGCGTTTGGCCTAGTAGATTGCATATCAGTATACCCTTCCAGGCTCTGAAGAAGGTGATACTGCCGAAACGTCAGCTAGTGTTGTATTGTATTGTTTTTCTATGGAAGTAAATGTATGCTGTTTAAATACCTCGCCATTGCTGAACAAGAAAACGACGCATTTAAAGGTTGGAGTTTTTGGCTCAATCGCAGTGGCCATAAACATCAACGAAACAGTGAGAAACACCACCTCAACCTGTTGGAAGAAATCCCGCTTGTTAAATGGCTTTCCATTTCGCAATACAATCCTCGTGGAAAAAAGGAAATATACAACTTACGGGCTCTAAAAGAGGATTGTAAGCTTGTAGAGCAACTAAACTAATAGCTTGCTATCAAGGATTCGTAGATTCTAATCGCTCTCATTTCAGTCAGTAAAGTGCGCTGAGCAAAGAAGCTTTAAAAGTGAAAAGCATTGCTATTTCTGCACAAATGCGCATTGAGATGATTGCGTACCAGGTACCATGTATAATACTAGCACGAGTAACACCTATGGTACCATAACGGTTTTGCGGGAATGGCGGGTAAGACATCATCACAGATATCACTCACATCCACAGAACAATAGAGCAGTCTTTTCTACAATCCATTCATGTCCACAACCCTCCAGTTATCCCTCGCTTGAAGTTCTCTAGTTATCGAAAAATTGCTGCTTATTTCGAAAAAACCAGCTAGGCGTCGTCGCAGGAGTGTTAAGAAATAATACATTGGGACAAGCAGAGTAGTGACAAATTCATGATAATGAGTTTAGAAGTTGTTCCTACTGATTACTACAACAACGAGGTAAGAAATATATAGTGCGAGTATGTTCACCTACTAATGCATCGATTCGGAATTCTTTTCTAGCGCACAAACCTAATAGCAAGTTTTCAACCACGCAGGAATATACGCCTCGGTGAACGCAGTCAACGACCACACACATCTTATCGAACTACCAACCATTTTATTATAGTGGTCCATTTACGTAAAACATCCCTGCATTTATTAGTCTACATGTATATGTTATCCTTCCAACAGATTACCACCTCATCGTTGTTGGGGGGTGTTCCTGGGTGTCGAACTGCGATGTACATGGGGCGGGGATTCCTCCCTCCGGCAGGGTGTTGCAAGCTGAGGAGTCCGGCGTTTCTATCAGGAAGCCTAGGTAAGAGTAAACCAATGCCAGGATCCACCACCGTCTTGGTATCAAAGTCGCATGGTGGTAATTCTCCCTCTTCTGATCCACAACGGCTGCGACTGCCTGTCGTGGAGACGACCTAGGGCAGACTTTGGCCAGTCTGTCCTCCGGATTCGAAGTAATCACAATGGCTTAACCAACAAGTCTCCGAAAAATGGTGATTCTGCTGGTGACAACTACTGATAACGGGCCGTTCAAGTATCAAGTATGTAAGTATATGTTATATCTCATTTTGCAACTGTACTGTTAAACGGAGGTACATGTAAGGTAGAGCTTATAGGTACCCGGAAGTACATACGTGGTCCATGGTCCGATGATGCTCGCAAGCTTGGCGAATTAAGCCAGGGTCAATCAGATTAGTTGGAACAGGGACAAATATAAGAAGACAAAAACACTGAGTAAATACATTGACAGGACACCGCATGTCATCGTATGGACCAAATATGCAATTAATCGATGGCAGGAATGGAATAGAATGCATAGTGCGTTCCACAAGAATTGGTCAACGAGGAACGCTACATTTTATGTTTTTAATTTGCTGAGTTTATACGAGGTTGATAAATATGTCTATTTCGGTTAACGTTTCGACGTCTTCGTCTTCATCAGAGGCGACGACCCGTGTCGGTGGTCCACAGTTGTTCCATCTGCTTCGCTGAACACCGCACGAATGGACAAGCACAGCCGGCAGTATTCTTTTATACAGAGCGGTTGTTGTTGATAAGACTATCCGTTGATAATAGTTTGTTTTTCAACGGATAATCCATCCTGCAGCAGTCGGTATTATGTTAGCTTGCACGAAGCGAATAGTATAAAATGTTCAAGGACTAGTTCTTTGAAAAACAAACCATTATCAACGGATAGTCTTATCAACAACAGCCACGCTGTATAAAAGGACACTGCCGGGTTTGCATGCCCATTCGTGCGGTGTTCACTCAAGAAGATCCGGTTTCGGTACAACGAAGACGCCACCTCGAGATAACGCAGAACTGTGGATCATCGACTCGGATCGTCGGCTTTGATGAAGACGAAGACGTCGAAACGTTAACCGAAATAAATCTATTTCTCAATCTCGTGAAGCTCAATAATTTAAAACATGTTGATTATTTCACTATCGAGGTTAAACGACGGTCGATTTGAAAATTGCTTTGCTACATTCTATATTTTGGAAAGTATTGCCAAATAAATTTTAATAACTGTCAAAAGCTAAGCGATGGCCAAAGCAGCCTAATGTTTGACTGTTTCCTTAAAGAACATGGGTTCTACTGCCAGTAGGCAACGTCTATTCTCTACAATGCCTATGCTGCCCTGATCGCCAGGATGACCACCTGCAGGCCACAGACTCGGGTTAATCCAGCTCTGAATAAGACGAACACGTCGAAACATTAAGCGAATAAAACTCATTACTAACCAACTTCGAGTCTGCATAATAATCCAAGAAGCCAATATCTATTCTGATTCTACAGTAGTCTAAGGATGGATTACTATGAGAAATTGCAATGAGGATCTTGAGTAAGCATGGATATGCTAAACCTGTAGAACGGAAACAACTTCAACAAACTAAACCAGAATCCCAAATGTTAATCGCTCACCTTTTACACGATATGATCATGGATTTAAATAAGTAAAAATCAAAGCCGATAATTACGAAGCATTTTTATGTTCTCAGTCAAGTCTTTAATCATCCTTAATCATACTTATCAGCTTTCTTCATAGATTTCCACTTTGTACGGTAAATGACCATTGTTCTTATTTTGCTGTTTCTTTCGATGGTTTGTTCTCACTGCTTGAGTCCTCCCTGAATCTAAGGGATTTGAATTGCTGCAGCATACAATGCCAGCTAGCACAACAGCTTTCCAATATGAAAAACGTCATATTATTCGAAAAGAAGTGAATATTATCCTAAAAATCACTAGTGATGCGGCATGAGATGCTAAAGTGCTTCTCACTAACTTGATCGTCTGTAATTATGCTAAACAGCGTTAAAGCCATTTCGCGTCCAAATTACTGAGACTATGTCGCTATCTCTTACTATAATATTAGGAACGATCCTTTGAAAACCAGAAAAACAAAAACTGAGGAAACTAGAAGGCCGTTATTATAGTTCTAACGACTTCTTAAGGAAGATGATATAGCTCAAATCAATCTTACTTTGACTAAAATCCTATCCTTTCAGATAAATATGAGAGATGCAGAACTACTGACTTGGTATTGGCAGATGATGAACCTTTCTTCCGCCATCAAAGTTCTTTGGGGAGAGCTAGTACTTTATGTTTAATCATAAGATATTAACATTAAAAGAAGCGCTGAGAAGTAATAGTAGAATAAGGCATGAGTGTAGAAAACAAAGTTTAGAAAGTTTCAGAAGGCATTCGCATTGTTCGGCGAATTTTTACCTAGAGCTAAGTGATGTTCACCCTATCCTAACGATATTTCAGAAGCATATGACGACAAGGTCAACGTATTTGAATATCCTACTTGGACCAGGTTACATTCAAAGTGATGGTATTTAAATATCCTACTTGGCCCAGGTAACACTCAAAGTGATGGTATTTGAATATCCTACTTGGCCCAGGTTTCATTCAAGTTAACGGTATTTAAATATCCTACTTGGCCTAGGTTACCTTCAAACTGAAGTCTTAACAGGATAAATACATTGTCCTTACATTTTGGCTTGTGAAATTAGATTATTGGATCATAATGGATGGAAACTGCGTATTGCAAAATTCCGATTATGCTAAACTAGAAGTTCTGAGAAAGAAACCTCCACAGGGAATATGCCAAGCCGGATCTTAAAGCTTCACGTATAGAAGTGAATGGCACCTATTAAACTGCAATGCTAGCTATTAATGTTAAAAAGCTCGATACATGCGGTCACGAAAATAAGTTAAATTTTGAAAAGGATTTAATATATCTGAATTCTACCTTGTCATCGCGTGAATACAGCATTTCGTCTTTCAAATCATTTACGCGAAGGGGGCAGCAAAAACACAAATTCGCACCCGTACCACCCACTTGTTGTAACAATCCGCTTCGAGGTGGTTTAGTCGTTTGAAACAAATTAGAAAAAAGATTCAGTATTGCAGCTCATTTCAATGGCGAAAACTAGAGATTGTCAAGATCATAATGCCAAATAATATCGCTTGATAAGGGCGCGTGTAGCGCAGTTGTTAGAAGCATCTTGCAATACACATGGGATCGATCCTTTGCCCCAAGTTCACCAAGCCTACCATCCATCCGAGATCGGCAAATTGGTGGCAGACTTATCTGGAAGGATTGCAGCACTGGTTCGATACATCGGTAGGCCTCCGCGAGTCACTGTATCCGCCAGTTACATGGCGTATCCTCCAGAGAATGATCAACGCCAAGGGTTTTATCCTTTATTCTCTCTCGCTTGATTTAGCGGAAATTGCCAGCTAAGTTTCGTGGCTAGACCGATTCATAACGAAAATCAAAGGAAGAGCAAGACTTCCTACGACTTGGTCAAAACCGTTCTCTAATGTACTGAAATCGAAACCCAAAGCCTTTCTCAACTATGTCAATTGTACCTCATAGGACTAAACTGGTTTTTAGTTACGACTAGCTATAGCTAAAAGAGTACGAGCTGAGACACTAACCTAGTTAGATTAATTGGAACATTGCTGGCAGCGTGTTGTTTGGCAAGTTGACCCATCTCCAAATCGATGAAGGTTTGAGCACGCTCAAGTTGCGCTTTCTGCTCTGCTGATGACCAGCCAAGTTCTTCAGCCATAATACGTACAACCTGAGAGTTTCATTATAGCATGGAAAAATAGATACCCTACAGATCGTTTGATAAAACAAATAAGGTGCCTTCTCGATCTCTTCGAAATCGTTTAATTAACATACTTCAGGCAGAACCTCGTGAGCAGCATACGTATTCAGGAAAGCAAGTCTCATTCGTCTCGCTATCACATCCACAGCAGTGCACGCATATTCACGGATAGCGTATCGTACCTAAAGAATTATCAACCAGTAATTCATAAGCGTATATGCAGTGGCTGTAGAAGGGATCATGAACCACTCGATAAATAAATAAAAATGAAACCCTCGGCATTGATCAATCCCTGAGGGATGCGCCATGCACGCCACGCCCCTTTATTGAACGTCGTTTGGAGGTGATTGAATGCATATCTGGCCTTTACAATGACTCGCGGTGGCCTGCCGATGTATCGAGTCAGTGCTGAGATATCCTCCCAAACAAGTCTGGTACCAATCTGTCGACTCCGGAGTGATGGAAGGCTTTGTGGGCCATGGGCATCGCAATCGATTCTCTGTGTGTGTTGCAGGGCGCCTCCGGCCACTGCGCCACACGTGCCCTCAACCACTCTATAGCGGATACAAACGTGCAGGAGGGAAAGACCGCCATTTAAAGGTTAGCAGCCCCTTTCATTTAACCTGATTTGTTCCTGAATAGTATACTGGTCGTCAGTATACTAAGTATATATTTTAGTACTGTTATATTATGAACCAAAAACTTTATCTTTTGCGAGGGCCAACCTCAAAGTACTATTGCTAGCAACAAATTTGGCTAATTCTACTTCCTTTGTCGCGCATTTCTTTCGTGAAGTTGTTACCACGTTTAGGACGTTAGGCATATTACTATTTAAGGTTTTTTTTGGGAAGGTTTTATTAGATCAGTAAGTTGGGCGGTTAATCAATGGGCAATAACTAGAGCACAAGCTCGAAAAGATAATTTAGAATGAAGAGGCTTGCAGAGCTTGCAAAGCGACCGAATTCGTCCTATTCCATTTCACTTGTCGATAAAGGTTCTAAAGTTCTACTCGCGAACACCATACTAACATTAATCTCAACTTCACCATTACTGTTTATTTCATGTTTTTGTTCTGCTTTTTACTGTTGTTCTTCCGGTGATCTATTGCCTCATCCTGGATAAGGTTGAGGGTGTTCACCTTTTTACCTCCTCCAATCTGAGGGGCACAAAATTTCTAACCAAAATCCGAAGCATCCCAGCAACAACATAGTCACCAGCTGAGAAATGAGAACTGCCTCTAAAATCCCACGAGCACTGCCTCCAATACTCTAGCGAAGAAAAATGTTGCCAGAGCGGCAAATTACCTGTCAAATTTAAATCGTTCTGGAAAGCGTAAGATTCTTCGTGATTCATGAAGACAGGTATCAGTAAGAGAAAACGATCAGATAAGTAAACAACTGCGGTGTTCTTTATATGAATAATCGAACAAATGTGAATAACTAGAAAGCGGTACCTCTGCAACTAAGTAGGGAAATTCCTGATGAAGTCGTTGTCCAATGATTGGCCAACGTTTGCCTGTTAGTTTACACATTCTTGCTACGACATATGCACGATCACCGTACGTATGCGCCAAATGCTGAGCTACCTGAAACACCTCAGGGAAGTACTATTTGGAATGAAGCACTAGCACACAATGAAGAACCGGAACATCAAATGTGACAAAGACTTTAAACATTCAGAAAAGCAATAGTTTTAGAAACATATTTCCATAAATCCGGTATGAATGATCAAAGTCCTATTTTGTGAAAAAAATACTCAGTTATATTTTGTCGAACCTCTTGTTAGCTAATCAAACAAACGAGATAGTGATCATTCAAACAGCCAATTCTTGTTGCTATTGCTATCCTTCCTCACACTTTTGCTTTTGTCTTCACAAAAACACTTTTTACTACTTACATCAACTTCTAAGCCGTAGTCCTGTACAAGGTGAATATACATCAACGGCTCATATTCGTGTGCACCTTCCAACATTAAGCCAGCCGTAACACAACCATTGGTTGGTTTCAAGTCATTGGCCTAATAAAATTTATGAAAAAGTACAAAATGAGAAACTTCGTAATGAACACAAAACTCTTGCTACACAGTAACCTAGTAGTTAGTTTTGCACACCTTAGAAAAAAACAGTTCACTGGGGAAAATCGTCTAGTGGAGGCGAACGAATCATTTCAAAAGCACACTGCAAATATGGGATGGAAAAACTATTATTACCTTCACAAACGCATCAACCGTTTCCTCAGCCATATGTCTATATGTTGTCCATTTGCCCCCAGCAATTGTTACCAAACCAGATTCCGATATCTTGAAAACGAATATCGTTACAAAATAAAAATCACATGTGAGCTCTAAGTTCGACAGAAAGCGCTAGAATGTTGGTGGCTTTGCTTCGAATTCTGCCCTTTTTTCTATCGCCCCAAAGAACTGTGGTGTTGCACTCACTTCAATGATATGATTTCTTGCCAAACTTTTCGTATCCTTTTTGTTTGGATCGCGAACCAGAGGTCGAAGTCCTGACCAGGCGCTCATCACATCACCACGTCGAACAGAGACGTTTTTCGACAAATATCCGCGAATTTCCTTAAGACAAATTCAGATGAGGTTCCTGTTATCGATTATAACATCAGAGCCCTGATTTCCCATCTATCACACAGATTAGCTTCCGTAGTATATTTTGTATCGTATAAGCCATCTACAATACTGCTAATCATCGAGTGTGTCAAGCAGTCGAGCAAGACGTAGTGTCAGACGCCCTACTTTGTGTGGCTGATGTGTGGGACGGCGCCTAATTTGATGTCAACTGCACAAATAGTACAACTTGGCCTCATTAAAACATAGTAAATAACGAACAATGCCTATTTTAGACCATAATTTTTCGATAAGCTGAGAACCTGGAGGATTGAGATTAAAGCGCTCAAAGGATCTCGGCGTTGATCAATCCCTGAGGAGCACCATGCATTCGACTTTACTAAGCATCGTTAGAGGTGATTGCAAGCATATCTGGCCTATACAACGACTCGTAGAGGCCTATCGATGTATCGACCTAATGTTGCTATCCCCCCAGACAAGTCTGATGCTAATTTTCCGATCCCGGATAGATGAAAGGCATAGTGAACTTGGAGTAAGAGATCGACCTCGTGTGTATTGCAGGACGCTTCCAACCAATGCGCTACATTCGTCCCCGGATCATTGCGCTAGATTACATATTACTATGATCGCCCATGCGAACACATTGCTATCTGCATTTGGAAATATTTTGCAATTTATCTCGAGTGTATTACATTAATTCTATTCACCCATTCCAAATTATGACCGTTAGCTATCGTAAAAACTACGTATTCGAATTTGTTAAATATAGTAAGGGTGACCGAAAGCGAATCCCACTTATATAACGACTTGCATTAGCCGACTGATGTATCACATCAAGTCGGTGTTCTCATCCTCCCATGCAAATCTAGTATCAATTTGCCCTTCACAAAGTGATGAAAGGCTTCATGAGCCCAGCGGTGGGATCGAACAAGTGACCGATCCAATGTATATTGCATGGCGCCACTATCCACAGCATTACACATGCTCCTCGGCTAAACAAGGAGCTAATGATGAAAAATTGAACCTTATTCCCCTAAATAATGGACTATGCCAGTTTTCCAATAACTCACTGCAATTTCGAGAATCAGAGGAGCTAAGAAGCTGAGAACTTGACATCCTTGTAAAAGATTCACTCTTCTATGAAATCGACACCCATTTATCATTTGATAAACGATTTCATATAGAAATAACTTGTTTTTTTAATTGTTTTTGTTAGACATGTTTCTCAATATGATTTACTTAGATGGACAAAACTGTATCGCTTTTGATGTCCTCTAATGGTTTTAAACTTTTCTCATCTAATCAGAGGCCTGAAATCGATTTCACCTAAGCTGCAGCTAAACGCAAACATGAGGTTACGACACCTCCATCATGACAAAACAGACAGAATAACAAAATGACTGGAGTGAGCGCTGAAATTAGCATGACATGTGAAAACATCGCCTAAGTTTAGAGTGAACCTAAAGAGTATTATGTAAAAAGTAACCAAAAGGATGCTGAAATATGAGCAAAACTTGAAACCTCATGTCGGCTTCCAACCCGTGATTGACCTTTCCAGGAGCTCACGTTCTATCCACCACACCAACCGAAACCTTTGCTTAGTCTTTCTTCCAGCCAGCTTTTTACTGGTAAGCAGTAAATAAAACATAAGCTTAAGAGGTCGCACTAAGTTCCTCTGTGAGTTCGTCACATTAAAAAAAAAACTAAAAGGATAAAGCTCTCGGCGTTGATCAATCCTTGAGGAATGTGCCATGCACTCAACTTTATTAAGGATCATTTGGAGGTGATTGGATGCACATCTGACCTTTAAATGACTCGCGGTGGCCATCGAGCCAATGCTGCTATGCGCCTCAACAAGTCTGATACTAATCTACCGACCCCGTAGGGATGGAAGGTTTAGTGGGCCATGAACGCGGGGATTGATTCCACGTGTGTCGCAAGGCGCCTCCGACCGCTGCGCCACATGAGCCCATCGTCACATTAATCAGATCTAAAATCCACCACAAAACATTTTTATGGGTCCAGTGTTTGGCTACGGATTGCCGAAGAATCAATGATCTTACTTCGACTACTAACCACTGCGGTAGGTCGTTTGAAAGAAAACGTCCTTTAAATGAAATCTTAGAAAATCAACGTTAAGGAATATATTTGATACTTTGTACCTATATTCTCCATTTTAAAATATTTAGTAATTTTACTCCTTTTCCCATAACGGTTTACCGCCTCAGCGTGATGTAGATGTTCCTCGGTGTCAGACTGCGATGTACAGCGAGGGCTTGATCCTCCCAGCAGGACCACCCACACTGAAAATATTTCCAGCTGGAAGCCTGGCCAAGAGTAATCTAATACGAGGAATCACTACCGCATTGGTACCAAATTAGTCGATTCATAGCAAATTTCTATCTAATCTACAAGGAGTAGACTGCCTTGGATGGTGAGGACCTGAAGAAGGCTTCAGCTTGGCTGACCCCGGGATTCCAGAGAGCTCCAGAGGCTAAACCAGTAAGTGAGATAATCGGTGATAGGTGATGAAAGCTCGGTTTGCACAAGACGTCAATGGAAACGGACAAAACGAGCACACCCACGACACGGCATGGAGACTGCTTCTTGCTCTGCATCTATAACAGCTATGCATTCTCGTGAGACGCCGGTTATTATCCTCTTCTTGAAGCCGTTGTTCACACTAATCTCCGTGTGGTCGCTCTAAAACAAACGAAAAGGAGGAAGACCGACATATACTAACTAGATGACGACAACCTTGTCATTTTTGGAAGGAAATTTTCGTTACAAAATGTCGAAGGGGCTGACTTTGCCACACACCTATCTCTTTACAACTAAGTCATCCCATAAGAGATCCAATCATTTCACTTGACTGTTCTTCGTCTGCAACCTCTTTGTCAACAAAAGTCAATATCGTCAACTCCTATTCACTAACTTGTACAGCTGATGAGAGCGAACTGGACGCATTCAAGTTGGAGGAAGTAATCTGCAGCGAGAGTCCTTGTATAAATTCGTTGTTGAAGAATTCAATGCCAGATTGGAAACCGCGAACGAAAACGAATACACGATAGGGTAATTTGGAATAGGAGAACGAAATAATGACGGAAACAGCCTTGTAGTACTCCTGACGCATGTCTCATCCATAGGAATTCGTTTTTCGAAAAGAGAGAATGCCGCCGATGAACATGGGAGTCTCCTAACGACGCGGTTCATGCGAAAGTCGGTCATATTCTCAGGTACAAAAAATAATTCCCCTTAGACACCTCAGTGGCACCTGCATTCTGTACTGGTTACGATCATCGAACTTTCCTGCGGAAATTTGGTTCAGCCATAAGCTGGAAAAAACACCATCGTCGAAGAAATATGAAACAAGTCCTGCATGGCGAAGATATGCTCAGGTCCCTTCCCCATATGATTGGTAGATAAATGAAGACCCAACCAAGGACTACATGCTGCTTGTCGAAGGACTTAAAACTTGTGTCCAACTGACCTCAGATGCTCAAACAAGAAGTTCAAACTGTATCTCCATTACCACTAAGGAGTTGCTCAAAAAGAAGACACTGAAGCTTGGTCTTGTTCGTATTTTTGAGCAAACGCGAGGTGTTATTGTTCTTTGTTCACGATTAAGCTGACGTTTCGGCGAATTTCGCCTTCTTCAGAGCCTGGAAAGGTCAAGTTGATAGCAACTCACTCGGCCAGACGCCTCCAT